GCTTACTAAGGTAAGTGTATTAAATGCACTTTTGACTTACAGCAAATATGACAGGGTTTATTGGGACGTAACCCCATCATAGGAAGAGGAACCTCTGGTCAGGTCTAGTAAGTGACTTTGCTCTCCCAATGATTCAATCAAAAGCCCTTGTGTTTAGTTACACTCAGATTGTCCCAAGTGGGTCAGTGGTCATTTCTTGAACTAACCATTAAGGGAGATAAACTATGGATCCATCCATGGTCAATGGCCAATAAGCCACATAACTATTCTAGGCTCAAAGTGGTACTAGAAAAAAGGAAAGAATAATCATAATTGGCGGGAGGGGGCAACTAAAGCATGTCCAGGCAACTCAATATCCATTCTATTTAGCAGATATGATTATGCTTAACAAGTGACACACATTTTGCCTGACTCCCTAGGTCAGGTTTAATGGGAACCAAGACAAAGCAGTTGTATAAGATAGACATATAGCACTAAGGTTAAATTTGAAAGGAAGAACAACATTGTTTTTCTGCTGACACTAGTGAATTGAGAAAGGCACAAGTGCTCAGATAGACTAAAAGCAAAGCAAGGGATTGGGGATGTGGTTCAGTGACAGAGCAAATTTGCCTAGAATGCAAGAGGCTTTGGGTTTGATTCTTAGCCCAGCCAAAAAAAAAAGTAAATAAAAATAAACAAAAAGCATTGTTAAAAAAAAACCAAGAGAGCAATGCTGGTCTGTTAGTCCTGAGAACCAAGGCCATGACTAAAACTTGGAACTAGATCTTCATTAGGAAGAAAATCTACTTAAAAATGACGTTTTGAGAACTGAGAAAATTTGAGCAGTGACTGGACACTACTCAGTTATGAATAAATGAATTATCCTTCATTTTCTTAGGTGAAGAAGTGGTAATGGGTGACAGTGGACTCTCATTATTTGAAGAGGCAGGCTAGAGCATATAGGTGGAAACTCTGTTGACATCTATACCGTACTGACAACTACCCTACTGCATACCTACACACAAACATAGATTAAAGCAAATATGCAGAGGATTAATAGTTGAATCTAGATGATATGCACATGCATGGTCATTATTATGCTCTTTCAATCCTGTAAATAAACTGTTGGGGAAAAATATTTTCAGGAAAATTTGAAGAAAAAAAAAAGAAAAAGAAATTCTGACTACTTTCTTTGCTGTCTCCACCTGGAGTCTTGGCTATTAGTTCCATACCAAGTAGGAAAATATGAACTTATTTGGTATTAAAATAACATAAGGTCTAATTGCTTTTCCAATTATGTATGAAAAGCATTTGTTCAGCACCAGCTATGTGGATGCATTTCTGATTTAGTTAATAGGGTGTTCCAATTTCATCTCTGGCTTCGTTACAGAGTAAAAGTTGTCAACCAGATACAAAAGACATAAGGAAGAGAACTAATAGCATTTATTGAGGCCTTACTTTCTATCAGGAATGTTGGCAGATCTCATTTCATTCATTTTTCATAACAACCCTGTGAAGTAGATACTACCATTATTCTTGTTTTACAGCTGGCCATTGGAGGTGTTTGTAAGTTAGGTAATTTGGTGCAAGGTCTCAGAGCTAACAGGTAGGAGGCATTTGAATTTAAGAGTGTATCTCTCCTAATATAGTGCTAATGGAATGTAAATTGGAGCAGTCACTTTGGAAGACCATCTGGAAGTTCTTCAGTAAGTTAAACCCAGAGCAAGTCTACTGCTGTGTATGTTTAAGACGAATGAAAATGTGTCCACACAAAAATTTATACACAAATAATTACCACAGCATCATTAATACAGCCCCAAAGAGCAAAAACTCTGAAAATTCCATCACTTGATGAATGGATAACAAAATGTGGTATACTCATAACAATGAAGTTTATTTGGCAAAAAGAAATTAATTACAAATACATGCCACATGCCACACATGGATTGACCTCAAAAACATTTCAAGTGGTAGATTACCTACCTAGCCAGTGTGAGGCCCTGAGTTGAAACCCCACTACTGCCAAAAAAAAAAAACCCAACTTTATGCTAAATGAATAAATAAGCCAGACACAGAAGACTATGCATTGTAAAACTCCATTTATATGAAATATCCAGAACAGGCAAGTCTATGAAGACAGAACTATTAATTGCTTGCTTAGGGTTAAGGGGGAGGGACAAGAGCTGCTGCTAATGGATACATTATTTTTTGGGGGAGAGGTTATGATGAAATGTTCTAAAATTTATTGTGGTGATAGTTGTATAACTCTGTGAATATGCTAAAAATCACCAAATTGTACATTTTAGGCAGATTCTATGCCATATGAATTAAGCTGTTATAAGAAAAAAAAAGTAAATCTCTCTTTACTATTTTGCCTAACAAAATGAGAGTTTTCCTCATAGAACTGGCATTCAAAATCAAACCATGCATGAATAGCTAGGTTGAATGGGATTCTTTTAGACTCTTTTAATTTAGATAGTTCAAATACTGAATTGGATATTTTTGAATATCCAGTTTTTTGAACTGGAAAGAGAAAAACCTCAAAGTGTTCAGAAAAAAATAGGAACAAATAGTGTATGAATGAGTGAACACGTGAAAAATTTCTTCGCCTTTAAACACCTTAGAAGGTGTTGGCTGTCCACCTTCTATAGATTATGTCTTCATCCTGTGAAATCTGTTCTGTGAGACTTTGTCTCTGGATCTAGAAGGCACTACACACTAAACTGACCATCAGTTATCTGCAGACTGGGAACACAAGGCAATTTCTGTGTGGTTCTTAGATGTAGCTGATTCTATAAGGAAATCAGGAAGTACTCTTGTAGAAGGTCTAGAACTGTAACAAATACGCACTGTTTTGCACTTTGTGCTGACTTCCTCCTTAATGTCAGATGCATTTATTAAGAAAGGAAGGTAACCTTTAGAGGCGTTCGTCCTCTGCCCTTCCCCAGTCATAAACAACCTGCTTCTTTCTGGCTCCCAACGTCAGTTCCTTTTATGACTGTGCTGTGACATTGTGGTATTTCCTTCAATTTGTTCCAGGTACTTAGGATAAGCTTAGCTTCTGGTTTTTCCTGCTTTGGGTGGTCTGGGTGCCTCCATAAAGTAGTTCTACCTTGCAATTGCTTTCTTTGATTCCAGTGGCCCTCTACCTAATCTCCCCGTCCTTTATTTCTTTGGCTTTTCTTTTTAGTTCAGTTGGTCACCTGCTTCTGGTACTATGGAGCTTTCTGCAAACTGGACTAGCAACAATATCATAACCACGACCCTTTCATTATCAGAGTAATTTTCTTTATGTGTTGTTTTGAACTTCAGCGTTTACAGGCAGCTCCCAAAGTGTGACTTTTTCTTGCTTTTACATGTCCAGAGTACTTACGGTGAGGGTTATGGAGCTTTGAAGCCATTTGGTTCCCCCTTTAAAAAAAGGAAAAGCCAAACCTAAGGTAGTTCCCTCCATTTAAACAAAAGGAACCAGTAGCAAAGCAAAGGAGTCTTTCCAAGATTCTGCAATTTATCCAAGAAGAATCTATAAATCCCATTAGAATGTAGTGTTACCTACATTTTGCCTTCTTTGTAATCTATTCTGGTCTTATGTTTTCTCAACTAAGACAGTAGTAAGATTTTTAAAACATGGAGGGAACCAAAGAGAAGGCCTTGCTGTCTTAGGTAGCTTCCTACTGTACTCATTAGTCTTGTGGCCTAATTTCTTACTTGGTAGGCTAACATAGAGACTCATAAAACTGCCTGTCTGTGATGTGATAGTCTTAATATTATTCTGAAGTGGTCCAGGGCACCTGGATGAAAGGTTATGAACAAAATTCTCAGAAATTTTTAAAACTTGATTTGTATAGAGCTATCAAGCTAGTGGAAGGCAAATTACACTGAATTTGGTGGATTTAGGCCTCCAGGGGTTGCATTTTTTTTTTAATGCAATTTAACAATTTTAGTAAGACACATAATTTGGGGGAATGGGTGCCATTTAAAGTGCAGAGGACAGAAACTGGAACTTCCATGGAGAGAACATTAATTTCTCTTGCATAAATTCTGAACAATCCCGTATAGGTGCAACATCTTACCCACTACTTTGCATTCATCTTCCTAATCGCACTAGTTTCTAGTAACAACTGTCTCTCCAGGGACTAAGCAAACAGAAAGCAAGGAACAGTGGAGAGATCGTGGAAGACGGAGGGGAGGCAGGACAGGGGAGCCAGAAGTCCTGCCCAGGCCCAGGAACTAGTGACTTCATTGTTCTAGACACACCTGATTCAGGCCATGTATTGTGGGATGGGTTCCTGCCCTAAAAGGCTTTGACGTTTAAAGTCAAATATGCATCAGTGTTCAAAGGCTGGAGCAGAACAAATGGGTTTCCTTGAAGTCAGGAAGAGGATGTGTGTATGCTAACCCGTTTTGAACCTTAGACCAAAAGACATTTACTTTCGTACTACAGCAATTCTTTGCAACCAAACCGAAAGTCAGAATTTTCAAATTAAAGATACCCTATGAGCAATTTCAACTCATTCTTTTCACTGCTCCATCATTCAACCACTTATTCCACAGAGGGCTATTGAGAGCCCACTGGGTGCTGGACACTGCAGAGCCATCACGCACTTGGTCCCCAACACCAAGGGGCTGACATCAAGTCCAGTCCAGCCAACAAGGGAGTGAGAAATCCTCGCATGCACCCTTGCAATTGCGATGTCCAGAAGCGGGTCCAGCACGTCACATCTCCCCACGTCGTGCCCGCAGGTGAGTGTGGGTGCGCGCGTGTGGGGGGACCGTGCGGGAGCACGTGTGTCAGAATGGCGCGTGTCACAGTGCGCATACAGGTGTCGCCGCGGCGTGCGTCGCCATGGAGGCCGGGGCCGGCTGTGCGGGCCGCGTGAGGCTTGCGTCTCCCGCCCACCCACCGGAGGGCGGCGCGGGAAGCCCCCGCGTGCGCGCTTGTGAGTGAGCGTGGGCGCGCGGGGGGCGGGGCTCCGCGCTGGCCGGGCCGCGCGCAGGCGCAGAGCGCGGGAGCCGGGCGGCCGCCGCAGAGCGCCGGGGGCGGGCGGAACGAGCGCAGGAGGCCATGGCCGCCGCCGCGGGCTGCTAAGAGGCTCGGCCCGAGGGCGCCTGCCGCCGCGGACGATGGTGACCGCACGGGTCGGGCCGCTGCCGCCGCCGCTGCCTCCGCCCCCCAAGACGCAGCAACCGAGGCCCCGCGCAGAAGAACCGCCGCTGTGAGCCTTCCCGGTCCCCGCCGCCACCGCCTGAGGACAGGAGGGCAGGCGAGAGAGCCGGGGAGCTGCGGACACGGGCAGCGCGCAGCGCAGTCCCGCCGGGAGGGAGGCTGCAGCCCGAGGTGACCGCGCCGGCTATCCCCTCCCCCATCCGGCCGCCGCTGCTTCCCCTCCTCCCCTCCCGCCCGCACCCCCTCCCCTCCCCCCCCTCCCCTCTCCCCCCCTCCCCTCCCCTCCTCCCACGCTGCAGCCCCTCTCGCGGTCCCGCGCGGAGCCCCTCCTCCCGCTCCCGGGCCTCGGATGCCCCCTCCCCACCCCCCGTCCCTTCCCCTCCACGCCTGGAGGGAGCCCCTCACATTCCTGAGATGCCGGCACTCGGGGCGCTGCCTCTCGCCTCCCCCAGCACCCCGCTTCGAGGCCTCTCCCAGTCCCTTCCAGAGCGGCCCCTTCGCAGCTCCTTTCTCCAGTTTCCAACTTTAGACCGCTTTTGCGCCTTTGTCCGCTTTGCCTCCAAGCTCGCCCCCCTCTCTGCCTTCCTTGGTCTTTGCAGCCCCACACTCAGCTTGGCTGTTTTCTGGCTGTGCAAGGGTTTTTGGGGAAGGGTGTTTCAGAAAGGCCTGCCAACTCCTTCGAGTGGAGGGATTCGTTGCTCACCATCCAGCCTCTCCCTCGGTCCCTTATCACGGTGAACCCTCCCTCCCCAAACCCCAAAAACCAACAGCAACAAAAAGCCACTCAGCCCTCTGTTTTTGTGGCCCGCCAGACTCGGTTGTCCCCATCCATCTCTGCTTGGTCCCCGAGCCCTCCCTTGTGGAATGAGCCCCCATTGGGTTCGGGGATGATGAACTTGGCCTGCGGAGCCTTTTGGTGAGTGGATCGGTACAGCCAGCACCGATGGCGAGACCGGAGGGTTTTTTGCTGAACGTAATCCCCCCAGCCCCAAGTGGAAGTGGCCGTGGCCGTGGGCCGTGATGCGCTGCTGTTGGTGCCGCCGCTGCCCTTGCTGCTGTAGGGCTGCCTGCTAGCCGCGAGCTGGGTTGGGGTTACTATAGTTCACATGCATCCGAGATCAGCAGGCGTGGAGGAGGAGGTGCGGGGGGAGAGGAAGGGGCCTTTGCTGTGAGGAGGCATCAAAGATTAATGGATGGCTCGGCATCGCAGTCTGCAGTAAACAGGAAACTGGTCTGAAAGGAGAGAACTGTGTCTTTTAAATTTTTCAAAATACGGAGTGTGTAGTTCTGCTGAATCTTGAATCAGGCCCAAAAGGATGAGCTGTTGGTGCTGCAGTCGTGACCCAGGCTGAGCACCCAATGGCAGAGGTAGCACGGATTTGATTTCCACTGTCTGCTCCCGAAATTGCAAGATGGTCCTTGTATTTCAGAGTGGACCCCAGATCTCTGCCGTTTTGGAGGTGATGAGAAATCACAGAATTGTTAGTAATTTTTGTGGAATTGAGGTATATACAAAGTTAGCTAGCAACAAATAGAGTGGGAGTGGGGAGGACCAGCTATATTTAAAACATGTGCAAGTGCTTATGTAAGAAGTGCGTTCTCTTTCCTGGTATCTCAGTTCTGGTCTGAATTTACTGAGGATTTTAGAATCCAGCTTTGTCCTGTCACATTTTCAGGTTTTGTCGTTCTTACAGATAGACAGTTTAAAAAAAAAAAGAATCTGTTTTTCTTAATGTCAATTTTACTTGATAGTAGAATTTTTTTTTAAAACTAGTTGGGAGAAAGAAAGGTTAATGATGAAGGTTTTGCTTTTCTTTTTTAGGTGGGAAAGTTGTAGAAACTTTCAACCTTGAATTATCTATATTATCAATTATCATCTAGTTAGCAGTAATTTTACGTTGAGTCAGGTGTCATTTTTGCTTTGTTTTTCATTTAAAAGGGAGTTAAAGAGATGTGCTTTTTTTTTTTTTGGTAAAATGGTACCAGTGTTTCTTCTTTAATACAGCTTTTCAGCAGACATTAGCTGTTTCTTTAAAAAGCTACGTTTTTCTTATTGTTGAGAGTGATTTGTTTGGTTTCTTCATACTCAAAGCCAAGAATTGTCAGGACAGTGTAGAATGATGCCTAGATCTTCCTAACCGCAAACCTGAGTGGTGAGCTGTCCACGTTGCACTTACACAAGACATGACTGTTTGTACATACTGATTGCTGTTTCCAACTCTGGGAGAGTCATGGCTGGAAATTGTTAGGGTCTTGTTTTTGGTCAGTGTTTATGGAACCTTTTTTTTTTGGTGGCTTTTGGAAAGAAATGTTCTCTTTTTTAGCTGTGTTACTGTGTAGCATCTTTGAGTCACATTCAGTTCACATTGCTTGCAGAGATGTGCTAGTGGAATATTACTTTCCCACTTTTCTGAATTCAAGGAGGAAATTTTAAAATCTTGTATGGAAGGTAAAATAGCGCGGAAAGTTTATATATTTGGCTTGGGGTGTGTCAGACCTTTCATTTTCTTTGTTTTCGGTTCGCCTACTTATTTTCTAGGATTATTTGATATTGTTTAGGTGGTAGGAGAATTTTGAGCTCCTTCCAACTTTATAATATACTCCTTAGCCCTGTTTGACAGTAAGTCTCGGGGAAAAAATAAATTAGGTTTGATCCAAATGTCTAGAGTTAAAATCTTTAGCTCCAATTTTATGTCACATTCATGAGTATACAGTGATTTGGCAGGTCTGAGTGATGTCAGGTATTCTGCAAACAAGATGAAGGTTTCAGAATTTTGTGTAGGTGTCAGTTTGGTGTGTGGTGCTAGAGTGTAGCCTATAGGATTTATTTGTGATGGTTGTCATCTGTCATGTGTGTTTCTATTTAAGAAAGATTGAAAATTACAAGGATTGGAAAAATGAGGCTTTTTTTTTTCTGCTTTGATTTTCTATATTTTAAGTTTATTTCATCCATGCCCTTAAATGTGGCTAGCTTACCAGTGACTTGTTAAAGTATCACTCAGGTATAAAAATAAATGAAACATTAGCAAGCAATAGATTTGTTTTTAAATGGGCATACTTTTAATTCTGTCCAAGGTTTTTCTTAAAGACATTTGACTCTATTTTGTGGCATTTGAACTTAGCTTCATGCCTGCTAGACAAAGCACTCTCCCTCTTGAGCCATTCGCTCATGTTGGGTATTTTCGAGATAGGGTCTTCAGACTGTTTGCCTGAGCGGGCCTCGATCCTCCTGATCTCTGCCTTCTGTGTAGCTAGGATTGCAGGTGTGAGCCACCGGCACCTGCAACATTTGACTCGAGTTAACTATGCTGCACAGATTGGGGGTCTTGCTATATTGACAATTTTAGGGACTAAAGGGTTTTCTGTTTTTGTGTTGCTTATACTTGTGAGATAGTTGTGGATGAAAATTAACAGTGGTTTTTTTTGTTTTGTTTTGTTTTGTTTTTGGCAGAACTGGTGTTTGAACTCAGGGCCTATGCTTCCCAGGCAAGCACTTGAGTCATGCCCCCAACTCTCTGGGTGGAAGTTAAGAGGAATCAGGTCCCATTCTGCTAATGGCCTTCTTTTTGCCCTAGAGATGATGCTCTGTAAGGATTAGGGAGATTTACTTTTGGTTTTTGTTTTTTTTCCTATTTCCTAGCAGATCTGGGTTTCTAAAACAGGATTATTTTGTTTGAATTTTTCTTTACTCCTTTTAGAGCTGTAATTAATAATGGAAGTGGGTACATTTTAAAATAACATTAAAACTGAGGAAGACTCCAAATGAGGTGGAATAAATATGGACCACAAGCATTAATTCAGTAATAGCTCCCCTGATTTATTACAAAAGCAGAAACAGGGATTCATATTGGATTCTGTTTCTTTTCCATTAAGTAGCAGTTTTTATTGGATTGTAGGATAAGGAAAAATAGTTACTGTTCCATTGTAGCATAAAATCACCTCAGTAATGTGGAGATTTTCACATGTCCTGGTGGGTTGTGAGAAGTTTGTCAGTCATGTACTATCACATCAGTTTCCAAGAAGACACTGTTACCAGTTTGGCCACCAGAGTAAGTAGTTATTTTCCATGGTCTTGTGGGGGCTAGGTGCCATCACCCCTTCTCACCAGCCGTTTCTCTTCTAATCTCACCCCGTGATAAAGCAATGCGTAAACCTCAGCAAACGGGATAAGCTAGAAAGAAGGGAATAAAAATCACCCCTAGACCCATTGTTGAAAGAACATTACTGGAAATATTTTGGTGTGGTATTTTTTTAATTACAGTGTCCCCTCAGTATTCTCAGGGGGTTGGTTGTAGGACCCCCTCAGACACCAAAATCGGCAAAGCCAGAAGTCCCTTATGTAAATGGTGCATAGCCTGTGCACAGCCTGTACACTTCAGATCATCTGTAGATTGTTCATAATACACAGTAAGAGCCCGTGTAAACCGTTGTTATGGTGTGGTGTTTAGGGAATAATGACAAAGTCTGTGCATGGGCAGTACGGATACAATTTCTTTCCCCTAGAATTTTCAAGCTGAGGCTGGTTGGATCACAGGTGCAGGGTCCACTGCAACATCAGGAGCTCTCAGAAAGGGAGTTGGGCTCCTCCATGGTGCAGCTTGCTAAATGTTAGTTAGAGATGTAGGTTTTCAGTGGTTTTTTTGTTTTGTTTTGTTTCTTTACCCCTTAGGACGCTGCTTGTTGGTTTTGATTCTCACAGTGTGTGTGTATGTGTAGGAAAATTATGTAAAGGTCTTGTTGATTTAAAGTAATGACAATTAGAGTATCTAATTGTCATGGCATTAATCACGTAGGATCGGTAGTGCATACGGACAGAAGGGCATGTGGGTTATGTGAACGAGTGAGAGGTGATTGTTAGGAATTGTTAACGGTATGCTTTTGCATTTTAGCTTCCTTCACTAGAAGTTAGGAAAATTGGAGAGTACGAAGGACAGACTGACAAATATTTAACCATAGCATAGCAATCTGTCACTGTAATTTCCTTCGGAAATAGATGTTTTCATTTATCCTGTAATGTCTGAAATTACTGCCAAAGCGAGAAAATGTGTTTAGCTTCCTCAGCAAAATTCTTAAAAGGATATTGTCAGAACCAGCAGTCCAGAATTATCTTTTTTCTTCAAATCATCCTTTACCCACTTTTGTTTGTTTGCTCTCTTCTAATTCCTTGAATTAATTTGCAGCTCTACATACAAAGCAGTATTGCGTTGAATTGTCCTTTGAAGAGATCCTGGCAACTGCTTTTCATTTCCTTCCTTTTTTCCCCCCATTTTCATTCTCTCTTATCAATGTCTATGAAAAGACCTTGCAGCCTTAGTGCTTGGCTGCTTCTCTGTGCTTGCGTATCTGTGTGCCAGGGAAGCAGCTGACGAGCATCACTTTCCCTTTCTGAAAAGAGATGGTGGGAATTTTACATGTCTCTCCTTCTGCACGTTCCTTAGAAGTTATCTGGATTGTAAACGTGGTACTTCAGTTTTGAATGTAAGTGAATAAGGGAACAGATAGTCTGTAAGACATTGCAAACTGATTGTGAATTTGTTAAACTTTTACTCAGTAGCTTAGGTTTTTTCATTTAGTAAAGATGCCAGATTTACCCTCTTTTTAAAGAGCTAAGTATATCTCAGATAATTACACAGGAATGAATTTCCTTCAAATTAATTGGGAGAAAGTTAACAGTATTCTTTTAGGGTATTGTGTTGCTGAGTTCCTAGATTTATAGTAAGTAAGTGGCTTCTTTAAAATACATTTTGAGGTCTGAACACATGAGCAGAATTGTAAGTTTCAGCAGACCTTGAAAAACCAATGCAAGACCAATTTTATAAATATCTAAATAGCAAATGTGAGTGTGTTTTATGACAGTCTGTTAGATTCACAAGACGGTATCCAAAGATACTGAGTTGATGTATCTTTACCTATCATCCCTTCTGAATTTTAGGTCTAATCCAGGAAAAAACAAAAACAAACCCAGAAAGCCATGGCTGCCAAGGAGAGGCTGGAGGCAGTGCTGAACGTGGCCCTGCGGGTGCCCAGCATCATGCTGCTGGACGTGCTGTACCGGTGGGACGTCAGCTCCTTCTTCCAGCAGATCCAGCGGAGCAGCCTGAGCAGCAACCCGCTGTTCCAGTACAAGTACCTGGCTCTCAACATGCACTATGCGGGTGAGCGCCTGTGCGATGGGGGCTGAGACGCACTCGCTCATCAGTCTTGCTTGTCACTTTATCTTAACGTCGCACATGAGTTTTCGGGATTGGAAGGGGCAGGTAGTGGTGAGTTTGTTTTACCAGATCAAACTGGAAGGCAGAAGAAAACATTTTGCTTGAAAAATTATGAAATGTAAATACTGAGAAACACTTTTCAAATACTTTTCCCTTCTGATTTGTCCTTATTTGGGGGGTTGTAATTTACAAAGTAAGCTTTTTAAGATGCAAATACTCCTTTTTGTTTTTGAGACAACTAAAACATACCAGTTGAAGATAAAGTATTCATTTTAAGTAAATGAAATATGGGACAGGGCACTAAAATACTTTCTTCCTTGAAAATTACTCCTGAAATTATAATCGATAAGCTTTGAGGTGAGTGGTAAAATTAGTGATGAGAGATTAAAGAAATTAAAGTCAGAAATAAAGACATGGAATAGATAAACTTCATCCAGAGTAAAAGACAGCATCTTTAATTTTTAGTTTATATGTAGCAAGAATGACAGTTTTTATTACCATTGCTCCTTCTTGGTTTTAAGGATGTATTATAGTGATTTCATGTTAATATTTTTATTATCAGAATCCTTTTTTTTTTTTTTTTTTTTTTTTTTTTTGACAGCACTGGGGTTTGAACTCAAGGTGTCACAATTGCTAGGCAGGCATTCTACCACTTGAGCCACTCTGCCAGCCACAAAACATGTCTTTTATAAAACTGTGAAAGATTGAACTATCTCTGTGAGGTTTATTTTTGCCTATAAATGGGCTTTCTGAGTTCTGCAACTTAGCCCTGAGAACCCTTTTTAGCTGTAAGACAGTGCCAAGGAAGCCACTGCTGGGAGAAGGGTGCCAAAGCAGAAAAGTCTGTGTGCTAGAGGCAGAGTGACTAGGATCAGTAAGCTTACAGTTGTACAGGCGCTGCCTTGGGAAAGTCTGTGAAGGGAGAAGGTTCCTTTATGTTACAAAGCACTGTAATTCTCAGCCCTTTATTAAAGGCTTTGTGTGTTAGCCAATTTATGGAAAGTAATTCCAGTCAGTTGTAGAAGAACAATGGGGTTCTTGGCTTAGGTTTTTAGATTAGTCAGCAAAGTAATTCACCCTGAGGTCTTAAAAATGTGCTTATCATATATTATTTCTGAAAAGACTGAAATATTTATTATAAAAACAGTTGCCTAATAACCAGAAAAATTAGTTTTAGAAGTTGAATGGGTTCTGGTACCGTTGAAATTTGTACTCTGGGAACTCAACTGAGCCTTTTAAAATACACACATTACGTGCTGTGGCAGAGTGAGCTCAGTGATTATACAAACAATGTTTTCAGCTTGAACAGTTTTTTGGTTGGAGCAACCTTTGTCAGAGTATATTACATACTGTTATTGTGATTTTTCAGTTTACAGAACTTCACACCTAAATACATGGCAAAAATTCTAAATTTCTAAAATAGGTTATGCTTTTATGTTCAGAAATTAAAACTTAAGTTTTCCTTATGTCTCTCTCTTTTTTGGTGGCACTGGGGTTTGAACTTGGGGCCTCATGCTTAGTAGGTGGGTGCTTTCACCACTTGAGCCACTCCATCAGCCCTCCTGTCTCTATTCTTTATCCACTAAGTTTTCTCTGAGCCCCCACAAAGCAGCTATTATTATTTCCTTATATAATTGAGTTTTTATGTATGCATAAGTAATACAAATATGTATCTTTCCTCTTTTTGTGATAATATACTTGGTTCAGAACCTTGGTTTTTGTTTTTTTGTTTATTTATTGTGGAGCCATCATGACTGCTTTTAGATGGTCATGAAATAAAGATTTGTACTCTTTTTGGACTGACACTTTATGCTCAGTCAAATCTTAAAATTCTGGCTAAATGTTTTCTTTTTTCCTTAAGCTTTAGAATCTTTAGGCAATTAGAAAAGCCTTCTTTTGTGTTAAGTTTATGAAGAATTCTGTTGTGTTTTGTTCTGTTACTTTTGTAGTTCCATTTGGAGTTTATCTGCATGTACAATGTGTTACAGAGATAACGTTTTATTTTTCTAGATAACTGTTTGAAGGCTTTACCTATTTATCAGTTTAGACCATCTTTCCCTCACTGATCATTATGTACTAAATTCTTGCATATATTTTGTTCCATTCCAGACTTTTTTCCTGTTCTTTTAGTCTGTCAGGCAGACCAAAAGTCTATTCGTGGACTTTAGCCATACACTTACTTTTTGAAGATTCTGTTTTACTGTCTGATAGGGTTGGTTCCTTCTTTTTTCTGTATTTCCTAAACTCAGTGCTTTCATTGTTAATTTTCTGCATTAACTTAATCATCCAGTTTCATTGCCTGAACAAAAACCTTGTGGACCAGTTTTCTGAGATTATGTTTTTATTAAAATTTTAAGTTAGGGTGAAGTGGTAGCATAAACATGCTCCTCTCTGTACAAGAACACAGAAAGCCTTCTGGGGTGTTTTAAAGTTTTCTTCATAGAGGTTTCCGACATTTATTGTTGACTTCATTTTTTTTCTATTTATTATGAAAATTCTGCTGAGACTGCCATCACTAAAATCACTAGTGACCTCGAATATAGAATTTAAGCCCATGTGTCCCCATTTGCAGGCTTTTCCATGTTCATGGAGCTGTTAACCACTTTTCCTTTCTTGGAACATTTTTTTCCCCTGATTCTTCTCCTAACTCTCACCATTCCTTATGTTTCTGGGTTTTTTGAGACCGGATCTCAGTATGTAACTCATGTGGCCTCAAACTTGGAATCTTCCAGCCTCTTAAAGGCCAGGATTTCAGTTAGGCGCCACCATGCCTACTATTTAGACTTCTTGGGTGTTGGTATTACCCAAAATTCAGTTCAGCTTTTAGTCTTTGGTTGTTTGAGTGGGCTCACATTGTTTTGAATACAAATCTCTTTTCCACTATCTTTTGACCACCATTGTCTGGAGTTGGTATTCTTCCTCTGAGACAAATGGCAGCCTGTTCGCACATCCACCATGGTGCTCACACTGAGGTCCATATGCTTCTCTCTGTTCCAGATTGTGAACTTCTTTAAGGTGTCTGTTGTTTCTGTGTTCCCAGAACCTCGTGAGTGTGCCTGACTCTCAGTGAATAAATGTCTACGTATTGCACAGCTCCATAGCCGGCATCGTGTCATTAGTCACTGAGTGCTCATCACTTTCACCTCACATTAGACCTCCTCCTTTATTTCCTGTTTTAACACCAAAGCCATCTTCCTGATTACCTAAGCTAGAAAGGTCAGAACCACTTTCACATCCTTGCTTCCAGCCACTCACCCAGAGATCAACAGTAAGACCTATTTAAATATGTATCTCACAGCTGACGCTGCCAGCTCCACTCCAAAGCTGCTGTTTTAATCCAGGCCCTCATTTCCTCTCCAGTTCTACCATCTTTCAATTGAAGAAATATTTTTAAATGCTGCTGGTCTTAATTATAAATGTGGGATAGCTTCATCATGATCCTTATCCATACCTTTAGTATGTTATGGGTTACTGGATTAATCCCACAGTGTAGTGATGTGTGCTCATGCAAACCTCAGTTGTAAGTAAGAAGTGAATGGGATTTTGGAAAGTAAAAGGAGTGGAGTTACCTTGTTGAGGGAGAAGGAAGTGGGCCAAGTTTGTTCATGTTGAATATAAAGACATTTAAATGGGCTCTGTCTCCAGCATCCTGAGATATGGAGTGCTTTAGAATAAGAAATGAAGGTGTGTTTTTGTATATGGTATGTTGTTGGTAGCTATTTCTTGGTAGCATACATCTAGAAAGGATACCAGTATTTGAAGCAGCGAAATAAGTTCTCTTTGCCAGAGCCTTTATACAGAGAAAAGCAGTTGTTTAGGGACCAGATTTCCTCTGTTCATGGAGAAAGTGGAGGGAGGAAGTAAGAGGTTAAAAACACATCCATTTCATGGAACCAAAGTGTAACAGGGTTTTGAGGGTTGTTGCCTCAGCTGCTGGGACCAAGGGTAGGCAGGAAGTCTTAGATTTGACAAGTACTCAGGCATGTGTTGATGCCAAGTTTCCTACCTTTTTAAAAAATTTTAAAATACTTTTATAAATATCTGATAGCTGTACAGGTATTCCGTTGTGATTTCCAGGTATGTGAGCCGCCTACCCCAAGTGCGTGCAGCGTGCATTCCCTCCATTCTCCCTCTTCTTTTTTTTTTTTTTTTTGCTGCACTGGGGTTTGAACTCAGGGTCTCATACTTGCTAGGCAGGCACTCTGCCAGTCCTTTTTTTGTGATGAGTTCTTTCAAGATAGGGTCTAGAGAACTATTTGCCTGAGGCTGGCTTCGAACTGCAATTCTCCTGATTTCTGCTTTCTGAGTAGCTAGGATTACACGGGCGTCTAACTTCTCCCTCTTCTTAAAATGACTTCAGCAGGTTTCCATGTTCCATATTCATACATGTCTAGAATACACATCAACTCTATTCACCCTCTCTTACCCTCTTCACCTCCCCACCCCCGTCAAGTTTCTTAGAGTGGAAAGGTAAAGGAAGGTTGCAACTTACAGAGGTAAAGACAGAAATAGATGATTCAGAAGTCAAAGCATTGGCTGTAGACTGTTTGAAACATCTGCCAGTGGAGTGAAAAAGTAGGTAACAGGAAAAGGAGAGATCACCGTGAAGGCAAGGGTGTTCTTGGTTTTTCCTCGAAGATGGAGAGGAGCTCTGAACATCCTTTGAAACAGAGGTAGGGACTGGTGTCAGGCAATTGGAAGACACAGAAGAGAGGCTCTTCCAGAGTTGGAGAAGTATGATCGCTAATTACATGGAAGGGGCAGACTTAGAGACGTTAAGACACCCAGATCTTCTGGGACTGGAGAGAGGATAAGTAAATTGGTGTAAAACAAGTAAGGAGACATTACGGAAAGGTAGATGGTGAGAAGAGCCATGTTGCATCTTTGTGTGCTGGATTTGATTATAAAATAGAAAAATCTACACAAGAAGTAACAAATGCTCTCTCTCTATATATATATTTGTATGTTTTTGTTGTTGTTTTTAGTGATACTGGTGTTTGAACTCAGGGCCTTCACCATGAGCCACTTCATCAGTCCTTTTTTGTGATGGGTATTTTCAGGATAGGGTCTTGTGAACTATTTTGCCTGGGCTGGCTTCGAACCAGGATCCTCCTGATCTCTGCCTCCTGAGTAGCTAGAATTACAGGCGTGAGCCTCTGGTGCCCTGCTGAAAATGCTGTTTTCAGTTTAAAAATCCAGAGTGATATTACTGAGCTGATTGAATTTTGGTACAAATTAAAAAAGCCTCAATTTGTGAAACTTAATTGGGAAAATTATTTCGAGACTAAGTTAGAATCTTAAAATTTATGTGTCTCTTAATTTCTGCTGCAGGTTATATCTTAAGTGTTGTGCTACTCACCTTGCCCAGACAGCATCTGGTTCAGCTTTATTTATATTTTTTGACTGCCCTGCTCCTTTATGCTGGACATCAAATCTCCAGGTAAGAGTGGGACTCCATTTCTGAAATGTGTGACTGAATTTAAATTTTCTTACGCCAATACAGTGCTCTTCATGAGCTTTGGTAGGTATCCAAGACAGATTTTTTTGATACTTGTTTTCTAAGTAAATATTACCATTCAAGATTAATAGCTAAGATTATGTTCAAATTGTATTTCTGCTTTTTAAAAAGAAAAGCTACGTATAAAATAGTCTCTAAGGTTATGTTTAAAGATACCCTTGAGCTTTTCTGTACCGCCTGAGGGAAAAAAATTCTAAACATGGCCTGTAGGAACGTCTTAATCTTCCAGACTCCATTACTTTCATCAATTTAGGAAGTCACCTTGCCGTCTGTGAGAGTCAGTGTAAGCTGCAACTGTGTAGAGTTGGTGACTGATACAAGATTTTGATGAGATTAATTGTATAGCTCAGATCTTCTGCCTCTTCAGCACTGTCATTTGTTTGCCTAGGTCTGCTAGGTATAAGTTTTAAGACTCAAATCTGCCAGTGAATGAGTTTCCTGCCTTTGGAACAGAATACCATTTAAGTATAGTAGCACAAATCTTGGGGGTATAATTCTTTTGAGACTTAAATTTCATAATTTGGTGTTGATATGCTTTTATCGTACTGAAATATCCTGACAGCTCTAAGAAAAGTGATCGTTGCCTTGCAAACAGAATAACCCGTGAGAAGAGGGGGTCTAAGACACAAATTTTGGTGTTGGCATGAAATCAGTCTTAGAAATAGCATTTTTACATTACTGGAATTGAGCTGAGTTTTATAAAAGCCTTAATTTTTTTTCTTATTATAAAATTATATCACTGCTCACTGCAGACGATTTTTGGAAAATAAGAAAACTTAAAGGCAGCAAAATCACCTGAAGTTATATCTTCAGAGAGACTCTTTATTATTCTGGAATCCTCCTCCATTCTGCCTTTTCAACTCTCACCGCTTCAGTACATATGCAAGAATGAGAATGGCTGGTAAGAAAGGTCACTTGCTTTGCCACTCTTGATTCATGACCTCACTGCCTTGGTATTTTTTAATCTACTTATTTTTCAAAGTCCCTGCGTTGTTGCCTAGAGACTCAGTCTTCCCACATTTGATTTCCTGTGCTCAGAATGGCACCTGGAAGGGTTGTATTTGACCTCTGCCACTGTCCTCATCCAGGGCATGTCCTCTGACGTCAGAGTTGCAAAATCTGGAGTGCCAAGAGTAATGTGCATTTCTTGTAATCCTCAAAATGCTCAAATTAAGCTGAGCGTCTCTTTCGTCATTTCCTGTCACACGTGTATGTTCCCAGGTTGACTCCTTCACGAAAACAACTTAGGCCTTTCTTGTAGACGCTCTCTCCATACAGCTTAGTAGGAGCCCACCTGACAAACAGCATGGTGTCCTTCTCACCCACCACCACTCACCCCAGACCCACACACAGTTTGTCCTCTGGCATTTCCTGGGCAAATTTGAACCACAGTTCAGGATCAAGGTGAGACACTTTTCTGTCTTTATTCATTCTTAAACAAAAGCCCTACATATGTAGGGTATATGTAGATGGTAGGATCTGGGTTCTAAAGTCACCATTTTGGAGTACAAGTGAGTGCTTGGGCCCCTAAGAGGCATTCAGTTCTTGGATGGAGGGATCAATGGATGGGTAGATGGATGGATAGGTAGATGGTGGGTGAGTGGATAGATGGGTTCAAATTGTATGTTACTTATTCCTACACTATAACCTTGGCTGTCAAAGAGAGGTAAGCCTTAATTTCCTCGGCTATAAAATGGTGCTAATATCTTAAGGGACTACTATAAGTTTCAATAAGAAACTCAGCGCAATTTCTGACACACAGTGAAGGTTCAGTGAGTTTTAACTAACATTCTTAAGTCTTATTTTTAACAGTGCAGCAGTATTTTGTGAGGATTTTCTTGTGTCATTCATCTTTAAAAAATGGCTTTTTAAATGGCAGAGTATTCCATGATACAGTCCTAATGATACCTTTTTAGAGTAGATAGGATTTTAATGATTCATCAAGAAATCTCAACTGTTGGTTTTATTACAGTTTTAATTCTGGGTGAAAAATCAAGATCCTGCCATTCCCTTGGTGGTTTTTCTGTTTCCCTGTGGTTTGTGGCATGGTGATGGCTGAAGCCATGTATCTGTTTTTGTCTGCAGTACTGCTAACCCATGCAGCTTTAGAGAGGTCAGATCTCTGTTATGTAAGGAAATGGGGGACCCAACACAGCCTCAGAGGTTTCAAAAAAAGCTTTCTGGATCATTCTGTGGCAACTTCAACTTTTTAATCTTAGTGTTATTGGCATATTCAAAAGTTTGTTTTCATTACTAGAAAGTTGAAACATATTAAACTATAAGAAGAATTTTAATAGTATTTAGTAACAGGCAAAATCAGTACCTGTACTTATTTTGCTTTTATCCTGATAATCCTTTGTGAAAACTTGGAGTGGACTTTACCCAAATCTAATTTCTGTTTCAGTCCTCTTAGGCACACTGCCGTATGAATGGAAGGAAAATTGGTTTTAGAGTCAGTGAATTACTTCTTTGAAACTCTAGACAATGTCTACCATAGGGAGTTTTGTTTTGGTATTAGAGGAATGAGTTTCAAGTAACAGCATGTTTTCATGCATTCCTTCAGTATGTCGACACTTACTTACGTGGTACTTTCACGAAAGGTTAGCAATGGTATGCTAGCCTTAGTTTCTTTGTGGACAGGTCACATTTAATGAATACTGGAGTTTGAACATGTCACATTTATAAAATACTGGGGTTGAAGTTTTTAAGTTTTAAAAAAGTAATGTTCAATTTCATGTGGTAACTTAATCAACTTAAAAAAAAAATGAAACAGCTTGATTAAGATGCAGTTCACATACCCCTTTAAAGAATATAGCTCAGTGGGTTTTTAGTACATTTGCAGAGTTGTGCAAACTATGAGCACAGTACATTTTAGACTTTTATAGCAGTCCCTTCCCACCATGTTGTAGCCCTAGGCAACCTTCATTCTGTTTTCTGTCTTTTGGTTGGCTTATACTGAATACGTTACATATATCAGATTGACACAAAGTGTAGTCTTTTGTGTCTGGTTTCCTTCATTTAGCAAGGTTCAACCATATCGTGTATCAGTACTTTCATTTCTTCTTGTTCCTTTTTTAGTGGTGTTGGGGTTTAAACCCAGGGCCATGCACAGAGGAAGCACGTGGTAAGCACATGCTCACTGCTGAGCTCCAGGCCAGCCTTGGTACTTTCTTTTTTTGGTAGGGGCAGCACTGGAAGTTGAACTCAGAGCTTCATGTTCCTTAGATAGCCACTCTACCACTTGAGCTACACCCACCAGCCCTCTGTTGTGCTGGTTATTTATGTATGGATGTGTATATGGATGGATGGATGGATGGATTTGGCAGTTCAGGGTTTGACTCAGGGTTTCACACTTGCTAGGCAGGCACTCTACTATGTGAGCCACCCTGCTGGATAGGGACTTGCTTTGTGCCTGGGCTGGCCTGGGCCACTGTTCTCCTATCTATGCTCCTTAACATCGCCGTGGTGAGGGCTCGTGCTAACACACCCACCTATTGGCTGAGATGCCCTGGCTAACTTTGCGCTCAGACTAGCCTCCAGCTACGATCCTCCCAGTCTCTGCCTGCTAAGAGGCTAAGATCACAGGCTTGAGCTACTGGTGACCAACCCTGGTACCTTATTTCTTTTCCTGTCTAAATCATCCTCCATTTTATGGATATATCGATTGCATTGTGTTTATCCATCCATTTGTCTGTGGATGGGCATTTGGGTTGTTTCTCTTTTTTTGCTATTATGATAATGCTGTGAACATTCACATGCAGGTTTTTGTGTGGACATATGCTTTTTTAAAATTTTTCTTGGGTATATACCTTGGAGTGGAATTGCTCGATCATATGGTCTCTATATTTAACCTTTTGAGAATTTACAGATTCTTTTTTAAAGTGGCTGCACTATTTTACGTTTCTACCAGCAGTGTGTGAGAGCTCTAGTTTCTCCACACCCTTGCCAACACTCAGTTGGCATCTTTCTTTTTTAGTAGAATTGTATGGTGAATGAGAAGAGGTATTTCATTGTTCTTTTGACTTCATTTCCCTATTGACGTGGTGGTAAGCATTTTTTTCACACTTCCATTATAATTTATAAAAAGGTTTATTCAGATTCTTTGCCCATTATTAACTTGGGTTGTCTTTTTATTACTGAGTTGTGGAAATTCTTTCTTTATTTTAGATGAATGTCCCTTACCTATTTTGTGCTTTGCAAATATTTTGTCCCTTTCACTTCAGTTTAGTTAAATTTAAGGCATAAAATAGTATGCTCCTGAAAAGTAGATTTAATATATGGGTATTTTTAATAATTAGGTCGGTATTTCAGAAACTAGAGATAGATGATATTTACAAATATTAATTTCTAAATTGAAAATTTCATTAACTTGGAAAGCTGGGTTCCTGGTTTTTCTTGATGTATATATTTATATAAGCAACTGATTGTCCTTAAATGAACATTAAAAACTTGTTTGGACTTTGACTGTAGAATAAATGTAGCCTGCAGTACAGAAGAATAAAACATGGCCTCATTCAGTGTAATATAAATATTTAATATTTGTGTTCTGATTGAACTCATAATATGTGACATTCCTTAATTTTTAAAATTACAGAACTCTGCTTTTCATTCTGAGTGATGTAAGGAATGTATTTTCCAGTGTGAATCCTACTTTAAAATAAAAAAGAAAAACCCTCTGCACTGACTTTGACCATTCCTGTGAGCTTAGGGTCACAGACCATATCAACAGTTGCTTGTTTTTCCTAAAAATTTAAAACTCCAATATTCTTAAATTTCTTGGTTTTTTGTTAGGATTCTGCAGTCAGTTTTGTATGTCTGACTTGAATTAAGAAGTGGGTAAAGCAGTTCTGGCTCAGGGATGTGTAAGTATGGATTCAAATGTAAAACTTTCTGAAGGATTATCTAAGGGTACAATGCAAATAGCTAGCTGCCTGTGTGATGAACCCCGTGTAATTCAAGGCCGTGGGTCAGGGACTTCTCTCTCTTGGTACTGTTAGCATTTTGAAATTGCTCGTTTTCTGTTTTGGAGGCCATTGGGGCCCACTAGATGCTAGTAGCACCTCCTCCCCAGCAGTCTTGATAAACGGAAAAGTGTGTCTGGACATTGCCATGTGTCCTATTCTGGGGAGCAAAACTCCTTAGTTACGAACCAGTTGTAAATACAAGGAATTCTATCATTTTTTATACTGGACTTTAAATTTTGACAGGAATAAATTTGACCAGTTTCTTACTTTTTTTTTTCTTCTTCTTTTGGACATTATCAAATTCAAGCACTAAATATCTAGGAGGCCAGAAGGTAGCTGGAGGGAGAAGCAGGGTGTGGAAGCAATTTAAATAAACCTTGGGTAGGTGAACAGCTTGGCATGTGGTAGGTATGTATGTGTGTGCATGTGTGTAGTAGCTATTTAAATACTGGTACTTGAACATCTTAGTATCTGCCATCTCTTATATTGAGTGGTCCTTTTTGTTTGTTCATATTGCAAGAAATAACTTGGAAGGCTCCGTATTTTGTTGCGTGTGGAAATCCACTAGCAGTTAAGCATCTTGCAAATGCTTCCTGTAAGAGACCATTTCTAGGCTGTCCAGGGACTGAGTCAGATTGCTGAAGAGACTGCAAAGCTTCTCAGTGCCTTGGTGGGGGGTTATAAGCTTCCTGATTTTGTTGTTCCTTTATTTTTTGTTAATTGGATTCTTCTTCATAGCAAGAATTTTTCTCATTGCAAGTTATCTTTGAGGCCTTCTGCACACGTACATCTTACACGTTCCTTATGCCCTCAGACATTTCCATTTGAAGAGAGGCTATCCCAGGGGACCAGAGAAGGTTTTCAGAGGGTTTAGTTTATTAGTGCTCAAGGTGATTGTCAGCATTCCACAAATTGCACAAATGCAAAAAGAGCTTTTAAGGAGAAGACTTTACTCAGTGACAGGTAGAGTGGCAGGAATTTTTACTTCTGATCAACTTACTACATTTTGCTGTTTAAATCTAGATTAAAAAATTGTACTAGTCCTCTTGAATTCTATTTTTTGTCTTAAAATAGTTCTGCAATGTTAAAAATTCAAATTTCATGACTGTTATCATGAACTAATTTTTGACCTAAAACTAATGAGTAACCTCTTTTCTGGATCCTTCTTTCTTAAGCATGTATTTTCTATTATATTATTACTTTTTATTAATGTGAATGACCTTCTCTTTGGGACTGAGTAACCAGGAGTTCTCACTGCCAGCATGAGGAGGCCCTGGAGAACTCATGGAGGTCTCTATTAGCCTTGATCCTTCTTCCCACTCTGCTCTACGGTTTTGCATGCAGTGCCTAGATCCTTTTTGAAGAGACAGCTCTGCAGTATCTCTGTGGCATACTAGGTTCAGCCCTCAGTGGAATCACTGCCCTGGTTCTGGCAAACAGCTTTGCTGGTTCAACGAGGGAGTCTGCCTGCTTTTTGGGCCTGGCGTGTTTTCTGAGGTAGGGCTTAATGGCCAGCCAGCCAGAGGATTAAAAAATGCTGCCTTGAGATGGGGGGCAGATGCAAACGTAAGGTTGGGCAGGCATGGGGCGGGTCAAGAGGACTGAGTAAGTGGCTGAACATTCAGGGTGTTGTGTTTGTGGTCTGAAGGTGGATCATTTTATATTCTGGAATGTAGACCTCCCTTAGTGTCCTATGGTTTTAGCAAGTCACAATGTAATGAATGTACAGAGAATGAAAAAGTTAAAACGAAAATAAAAGGATTAGAAAGTTAAGGAGGCCTAAAAACCAATTGTCAGCGTAAGTATCGCTCCTCTGTGGGTTTGTGAGCTTTCCCATAGCAGGTCCTCTGTCTTGTCTACTGCAGTATCCACAGGGCAGAGTCCTAGCAACGGGTTCTTGAGTTCAGGAAGGATGGAGCATGCTAATTTCCCTTAGAAGTTTTGTCATGTGATAATAGAATTTAAGGCAAGAAACTTCAAAGAAAAGTAAGCTTTTAAAAAGAAGATAAAGAAGATGGAAATAATGCAGAACAATTAAGGAATGTCTCAACAGTAAGCAATTATAGTGTTGAGTTTGTTTAGTTACAGGGTAAAACTTGGATGGTATGATGACAAAATCAAATGGAGAAAACATAGCAGGACCTCCACTTCGCTGTCTCCTTTGCCCTTCACTAAGAGAGTTCCTAGGAATGACTGAAGCCCTTTCAATTGAGGTGATGTTCACGTGACATAAAATCAGCCATTAGAAAGTGGCACATTACCTTCATATAATTCCAATACGTTTTTATCATTAAGCGGTTACTCCTGCTTGCCCCTCCCCCAGCCCCTTCAACCACCAGTCTGCTTTCTGTCTTTGTGGGTTTTCCCTGGACCCTGTTTAAACTGGACCTATTGGAGAGGGGAATGCTTTAGCTCAAAAGAAAGTATTGGATGTTAGAGTCCTAGGTAGTACTGGGACTCAAGAATTAAGTCTCTTTTAAATTTATTTCTTCAATAGCATTTCAAAGGCTTTGTAAGTATTAATGGTGTTTATGAGTATATTTTAAGTTTCATAATTCTTAACCGTTTAACTTCCTATCCTCGAACTGTATATAATAGCTACATTAGTGATGACCTGTAGCAATCAGAAATTTACATGTTATTTACAGATCGCACTTGTGCCTCTTTACATTGAAATGGGGTTACTCACCCACTGCATGATCGACATTTCAGGCCAGTGATCCTTTGCTTAGGGACTCTTGTGTGCATAGTGAAATGTGTAGCCTTTACCTAATGGGTACCAGTAGCTCCCTCCCTCCCCCACTGTACCTGTGAAAAGTGTTTCTGATGTTGCGAAGTTTCCTTTCAGGGCAGAATTGTCCCTGGTTGACAGACACTGACTAGAGTGTTCGCTGTTGAGACTTGGGCTTTTTCTTTCAGTATAGAGAGTGAACACAGTATGTTAGAAATGCTCATCAGAACGTGATGAAAGACTGTCAGATAGATCACCCTTTGAGTTTAAGTAGTGACTGATTTTTATAATCATTTCCCAAACCGTTGCTCCTCAAAAATTTTTATTTTCGTTTTTGTCAGTAACTTGCTCAATTGTGCAAGGGCCATTCCTTATTTGGCTATGTTGTGCTAAAGGAATTCAACTTGATTGCCCAGGAGGAAGTCATCTCATGAGAAGAGGAAATACAGAATCTGAGAAATATATCCAAATTATTTTGAAGTACCATGAATAAAATACTCACCGGTTGAAATGAGGGCTGTAGAGTGGCTCAAGTGGTAGAGAGCCTGCCTAGCAAGCATGAGGCCCTGAGTTCAAACCCCAGTGCAGCAAAAAAAAAAGACCTGAATCAATATTTGAAAAGAGGGAGGAAAGTATTTTTTTAACACAAGTTTCCCTTCTTTAATGCCAGAAAAGCTTAACCAACTATCTTCCAGTAATTCTACTTGCTTAGCTTTCTGGTAACAGTTCAAATTCTCCCTTTTTGTGCTTTCTGTCTTTATTTTCTCAAGAGTGCACAAGGCTCTTACAGTGCTATTTAAAGCTTACTATTTCTCAGTAGCACTTTTTTAAAGATACGAAATGCTTCATGAATTTGCATATTATCTTACCCAGGGTCCGTGCTAATCTTCTCTGTATCACTCCAATTTTAATACAGGTGCTGTCAAAGCAAGCACCAGTAGACACTTTTAACTTGACCTTGGGGCCTCACACTTGCTAGGAAAAGCAAGGCTTGAGCCATGCATTTGACCTTTTTTTGCTTTAGTTATTTTTCAGGTTAGGTCTTGTGTTTTCGCCTGAGTCCAGCCTCAGCCTGAGATCCTCCTACCTGTGCCTCCTGTGTAGCTGGAATGGCAGGCATGCCCCCCACCACACCCAGATAGCTTATTGATTGAGATGGCAGGTCTTGCCAACTTTTTGCTGGGGCTGGCCTTGAACCATAATCCTCCAGATGTTTGTCTGCTGAGCGGCTGGGATCCCAGGCATGAGCTACCGTGTTATCCTCTGCAGTCAGATGTTAAGTGCACTACGTTCAAAAGAGAGACTGTGTGTGATGTACTGTTTGTTTCAAAATAGATACATAGCCTCCTTAAGAATTAGAGTTCTCCTCATAGGTCCCCCGTAGATTTTAAAATCATGTTTGAGGACTGTTCTGCTACGAGACAGTTTTCTAATTAGTTGAAAGTTTTATCTGTAATTATCAGAATATAAGTGGGAACAACCTTCGGGGGAAATGAGGCAGACAGTGGTAGAAGCAAGACAAGAGAAGGGGACTTGAATGCACCATTGTGAGGTATTTTCATTTATGGAGTAGGGTTGAAAGATTATGTCACACAACCAGCTTTTCACTGGGTGTCAAATACTGAATGAAGCCACGGGAAGAAAGAAATGCTCACAAAGTAAGCTGTGGCAGCCATCTCTGCCTAGTCAGAGTCAGTTTCATTAAACTCTGTTTCTGGTGCCCGGAAGTCAGATGAAGGCCACCTCTGTATAATTTTGTATAGCTAAGCTTTTCTTAGATGAGGTGTTAGCGTAGCTGTTAGGAGATTTCTGTGATGGAGCTGTTTCTCTCCCTCATCCAATAAATTATCGTTTCTTTTCTCTAGGGACTATGTCAGGAGTGAACTGGAGTCTGCCTATGAAGGACCAATGTATTTAGAACCTCTCTCCATGAATCGCTTTACCACGGCCTTAATAGGTATGTATCATCAGAGAAGTAAAAGTATTTGTAGGAACCAACCAGTCTTACAGTCTTATGATAATTGGTACATAGTTAGTTAAAAAATTATTTAAAAACTTAAAAGGTTATTCATGGTGCCTCTTTAGAAATTCAGACACTGGGGTGTTTTCTTTTGCTTTTTATGTTTGTTTCGTTGTTGTTTTTGTCTTAAGACAGGGTCTCGTTATGTGACCCAGGCTGGCCTTGAACTTGTGATCCTTCTGCCTCAGCCTCCTGAGTGCTGGATTTACAGGTGTGTGCCACCACACCAGCCTCTAATAATGCCTGTTTCTGTAGTCTTTCTCCATTGATAAGTGTTTCTTATTTTTTGTATTCAAAATAATAAATAGTTCATAGTTGCTTGTATTTTTTAAAGTTTTTTTTAATATTTGGAAAGATTAAGTTTTTTAATAAAGCTAATTATTATTTTGAAAGATTAAAAGCTACATACTATCTTATTAAATGTTGTTGAAAATTATCACCCTATTGCCAGAAATAGTTAGAAACATCAAGACCTTGAAATATGATTGAAGCATTCAGGTAAAAGAATGTTAAAAATAGAAGTGTTGACTAAGACCTAAAAATAATATAGACACAATCCAAAATGAGCTGCCTGACCCAACTATACCACAGTTCCAAAAAAGGAAGTGAGAAAAAAAAAAACCAAACACCCTTTATTTATTTATTTATTTTTAACTCTTAAGTTAGCCCTGGGAGAGTTGAATGATGGAGATGGAAGGAGGATTTCTTGGACTAGCAATCTCTTTTCTGAAATACCTCCCCAGCCCAGAGCATTCAGTGGTGGCCCACTGGGAGTCATGTATCTTCTATGGTGTAGGGGATGGTGTGGACTGATTTAGAACTGCAGAATCTGAAGCTGCACTGTCCACACTCAACATTCGTGGTTGTTGAGCGCTTGAGTTGTGGTTTTTCCAAATGAAGATGTCCTGTGCTTGCAGAACACACACTGGGCAAGTCAAGAAAGAGGAGAAGCCAGAGCAGTTGCTCTACCTCTCTCAGAGTTACAGGCTTTCTGTATTTAGTACCATAGAAGGGGCAGCCTGAGTCCCAGAGAGAGAGATGGCTCAACTTCAAACACCAGTTTCAGAGTTTGGTTGTGGTTAGGGGGAGGCCCTGAAGCCTCAGCTGGACTAGAAGAGTTGTGGAACTTGCCTTAGGCTGCATCAGGGGCAGAAAAACAGCTAATCTGTGTAGAGCAGATGTCAAAGGACAGCAGGAACAAAATGTTACCTTATGGCTGTATTTTATAAGCTGTTGTCTCTAATGGTAACATTAAATTATGGAAGTATTTGCTAAGTTAGAAAGCTTAAAAATTTTTCTTTGATTATTGTGATGGATGTACCTTCATATGAGATGTAATTCCTTAAATTCTTACCATTGGCTTTGAGTTGCCTGTTCATTCAACTAAGGTTCAATTACTAAGGAAATAAAATAATGTCCATAAACTATTAAATAACATTTCTGTTCTAACTTTGCTTTTCAGGTGACTTCCAATTTCTATTCTTCCATTTCAGTAACGGACTTATAGTGAAAAACAAAGTAATTTGAATATGCCATGATTTCTTAGGGTTGGAAGCTTGTTGGAGACATTCCTAACAGTAGGTCCCGAACTCCAAAGAGTACACTGTGATGTTGACTTATTCAGAATCACCAGTTGGAATACAAAGCACCTCATTCTCTTGGAGCTCCCGGGGAGATTCCACTAACGATAGGACTCCTTCCTTCTCTTACTTACACAGGATGAGTGTCTTCTCTCAAGGAGAGTATGTCCTGTGAGTCATACGCTTCTGTGAAAGAAGATAAGCTGAGCTAAGCCCGTAATGCCAGAGCTCAGTTCTCCAAGTGCTGGCATAGACTTCTGGGAATTTCAGAGCTTAGGGGAAGTTTGCGTCATGCTGAGCGAGGAAAGTTTAAGTATCACAGCTCTGAACGCAGTAACGTGAGATACGCCAAGATGAAAATTTTGAATGATTCTAAGTTCTGAAGCATTTCCTCCAGTCCTTTTTTTGTCAGATTTTTAATCAAAGAAATACGCTTAATATTAATAATCAAACGCCCCTCTCTCTCCTGCATCACCCCTCCCCACTTACTGTCCCAGAGGCCTCTTTCAGCTCCTGAGTTTTTCTCTGCTGCTTTTTCTTCCTTCTGGGAATCCTGTTAATTGAATTTGTATCTCCACCCTTGGATCCTAATTTTCTTACTGTTTGTACTTTCCTTCTTTTTTAGCTGTTTCTCCCTCTTTCTCTATCCATTTGTTCTGGGTTTTTTGTGTGTGGGCGGGGGCGTGTATTGCTCGAGGGGTATGGTGTTTTGTTTTACCTTTGAGATTTCCCAACCTTTATCTTCCAACTCTTTTTGTTGTTGTATTTTAACTTTTGCCCTATATTTTCCATATCTAAAAGCTTGTTTTTATTGAATGTTTCTTTTAGTATATCAGTTTTTTAGACATCATTTATGTTTTTAACAGTACTGTACTTTTTTGAAACTTTGTTTTGCTACTTGCATTCTATTTTGTCTGAGATCCTTTTCTGTTTGTTTTAGTCTTCATTTTTCATGAGAAAACTGTTTCTAAAGCATGGATATATTAAAAAAGAAAGGGTGAGGGAAAGGGTGACATTTAGAGGGAGGTAAATACCAATGCCTAAGTTTTATCTGAGACTGATTAACCTTGACTGTTTATGTTAAAGGGAGTTGCTAAATTGTTATGGGAATCTCTTAAGAGCTTTCCAAGTGGTACATTCGTAGTGGGTGACCAAGTGGGAATGGCTGTCAGTCTTGCAGGTCTTTTTATTTGAACTGGTCAGCTTCCTGAGAGGGAGGCAGGCAACAGTGGCTAGAACTGACTGCTGAGAAGTGAGCTGTAAGCTTAGTAGCCAGGTATGGATGTTTTGAGGTGCAGCTTTTATCTCAACCACCTGTTTGCATTTGTGTCCCTCACCTCTGCTGTGGGCTGTTCACAGTTTCCAGGAACCTCAGCTTCCACATCCTCAGAGAGCAAACTTCAGTCTTCCTCCAGGACGTTGTGGCCTGGCTAATACCACAGCCACTGGCCTTTTTGGTTTCTGTCTTCCCAAATGTGTCTCTTTGAGTGACTCTCCTCTTTATGTTCTTTGTCATTATGAATGTGTGTCTTCCCTGTGCCCTTAGGAGTATGGTTCATATTGTGTGAATATTAGCTTTTCAATTGCAAAAATTAATGCTTTGTGAGAGGAGAATACCATACATATAACATAGTAGATTGTTACAAATGTTTAGCCCTATGTGAAAAATGGCTGCTATTTTTGTAATTTTCTCTGTATTATTTAGATAGAACACAAACAGAAATTCCTAAATTTTGTTTTGCTTTTCATTGGCAAGAAGGAAGGAATTTGATTCTTAAATTAATCTAGAAGACAGCATGTTTAAGAATCTCTAAGAAACTCTGAGAAGAGCCGTGAGGGGAGACTTGTCCAGCTAGAGATGTGGAACAGGGTGGCTGGTTACCAAAGTAGATCCCTGACAACAATAGCACATTCCTACACCCAAACATGTAGCAATGTTGGCATTTCACATTGAAAAGAAAAGGCGGATGACTCTAGCAGTTAGTTTTGAGATAGCTGCCTAGCCATCCAGGAGAAAAACATGTTTAGCTCTTTACTTTCTATCTTATCCCAAGATAAATTGCAAATGTATGAATTTCTAAGATAAAAACTACTGAAGGAAAATGTGCGTATGTAGGTAGGTGTGGGTACAGTCTTAGGGGGGCTGTGTAATTAAACTCTGGCACCAGAAATAGAAACATGGAAAAGATTGATTAGTTTTATTACTTTCAATAAAAACCTCTGTAAGAAAAAAGTTACTTAAAAATCTAAAGCCATGAGACATTGCAAAAATATAATCAGCTAACAAAAGATGAATACCTTGATCAAATAATCAGATACATATTTCAATAGAAGAATGGCAGAAGGGCCGGGGCACGTGGCTCAAGTTGTAGAGCGCCTGCCTAGCAAGTTCAAGGCCCCAAGTTCAAACCCTGGTATCACCAAAAAAAGAAAAACGGGCAAAGAAAACAAATATTTTGCCAAGTAATGACAAGTGTTTTTATATACGTATTAGTATGTTTAAATCTATTGATAACCAACAAAATGCTAATTTTTAAAACTTAAAGATTCCTTGTTCCTTCCCTCTAAATTATACTCACTAAAATCAGGCGTCCTGTATGCTAGGTGACTTGTTTTTGGAGGGCTACCTGATAGTATGTGTCAAAGGCCTTAATAAATGTTTCTTCTGCTGGGCACCTGTGTTTCCAGCACACTGGAGACTTAAGTTAGGAGGATCGGGAATTTAAGGCCAGCCTATGTATATGGGCTACATAGTGAAAACCTGTCTCAATTCAATATTCCACTTTTAGGATTTAGCCTAAGAAAATATAAGGAAATGTGCCTAGTTACTAGTAAGCCTATACATGGATGTCATTAAAATTTTCAAGCTTATTCATACAAAGTGTTTATAATTATGAAATACTGGAAAAGGCCAAATGCCAATATTATGTCACCTGATTCAGTGTAATACACCATGTAACTGTTAAAAATGGCTGTGTATATTACTAGTGTGGAGAGGAAATTGATTGTAAAATAGTTGTATACTGTGATCTTTACGTAAAACATATGATTGTATGCATAGAATAAATCTGGAAAGGTAGAAATAATAGAACAAGTAACAATGGAACAACTTAGGTTTTAGATAAATGCTAAAGCTTTAGGTGTAACATTTCCTGATGGCCACAGGAGTGTAAGAGATTGAAGGTGTTCTTTTTTGTATGTACATTTCTATGTTTGTCTTCCTCCATTCCTCTCTCCCTCCCTCTCCCCATCTCTTTCTCGCCCTCCCCTTCCCTCCCCACCTCCCTCTCTCATTTCTAACTTTCTATAGCAATTACAATCCTCTGTGAGAAAAGTTTGTCTAAGTGTTTCACTTTTTTTTTTTTTTTTTTTTGTGGTACTGGGATTTGAATTCAAGGGCCTCATGCTTGCTAGGCAGGTGCTCTACCGTTTGAACCACTACTCCAGCCCTGTTTTTGTAGGGTTTGTTTGTTTGTTTGTTTGTTTTTTAATAGTGTCTCACAAACTATTTCCCCAGGCTGGCTTTGAACTTTGATCCTCCTAATCCCAGTTGTAGGATTACAAGTGTGAGCCACTGGCACCCAGCTAAACTTTTCACTTTTAACTTTCACACTTGGGTTATGTGGAGAGGTTTGTGTGGTCTGTGAGAATACTTAAAAATTAAAACCTCAGAACAAATTTCATTTTGTTGCAGTGCAATCTTGGCCGAATAATTGATCGTTTGGATTTTGTGCTTTTACTGTTAGTCCAGCTTTGGAAAAAAAGCTAGGTATGAACAGTAGGAACTGGGTTATTATATTATTGAACCAGGTGTTTAGAAAAACTTTTCTCCATGTTATACACGCCATCAGAAATGTGAAGATCAGTGGAGATTTATGCTGCTTTTACAGCTCATCCCTAGGAAGTAAGTATTGAACAGTTACAGGATGTGTGAATTAGTTATGTTCAGATGAAGTTAAAAGGATTTAAAGTATTATCCAAAGGCTTTTCAAAAGTTGTGTTACCATCCTTACCAACAGTATTGTTCATTTTACTTTTGTAGATTCTAAGTGCGCCAAATTCAATCAGATATTTGCATTTCAGGTCAGTTGGTGGTGTGTACCTTGTGCTCCTGTGTTATGAAGACGAAGCAGATTTGGCTCTTCTCAGCTCACATGCTTCCTCTGCTAGCACGACTCTGCCTCGTGCCTCTGGAGACCATCGTTATCATCAACAAATTCGCCATGATTTTTACGGGATTGGAAGTGCTCTATTTTCTTGGGTCTAATCTTTTAGTACCATATAACCTTGCTAAGTCTGCATACAGAGAATTGGTTCAGGTAAGGCTGACAGCCACAAACAGGTGGATAAAATTCTGCATAAGTGTTAAGAGATATAGTTCACTTTATTTCACAGTCATAGTTATGGTTTATGTTTCAAAAACAACTATTCTCAGCCCAATTAGGAACATCTGAGATTCTGTCTTAGGAAGTTCTGTTGAGAAGGTGGTAAAGCGAGGTGATTCTCTGGGAACAGACTGTTTGGGTTCATACCTCAAACCTGCTGTTTACCAACCCTATAGCCTTGGGATAATCATTTGCCTTCCCTTACTGTAGAATGGAGCTAATAATAGCACTGCACTTGCCTCATAGGGTTGCCGTGAGATCTAAATGAGTTCAGTGCCAGGCATGGGATGTCATTACGTGCTAGCAGTTACAAGGAGAACAAAAATAATAGAGAATCACATACCTAGAGGTCAGATCTGGATTTTTGTCCTGATTATAGTCCTAACTGTGACTGCAATTTCTTCCTTTTGTTTACCTACTTTATTTAAACTGAAAGGTTAAATGGTTGTGGATTGCTAGCACATAAGGCTTTTTGAAATGGTCTTGCCCCTTTTTTCAGCCTTTGCTCTAAGATTACCCCCAGGCACAAAAAATACACCTTTGGAAAATAAATGTTTCTATTTGATTTGAGAAACTTCAGTGTGAAATAGATCTGAAACCTGACATTGGTATAACATACCAATCACGAACGAACGAAATCATTTTTTTTCTGCCTCTTGAGGGTGTGGGTGTGGGTGTGACGTGGTACCAGAAGCTACTCAGGGTGGCCAGGCTAATACTCCCGGGAAAGATACTTTCTTGTGTCCTGGGTCAGATGTTTAAGGAAACTTTCTCCAAGCTCTGAGTCTTGGCTGATTCTATCTTCTTTGATGGACTTGGGTTGTTTCTAACTCAGTGTAGAGATGCTTTATGAGAAAGGGTGGAGTTCTATCAGATCTGACTTCTCTCTTTGAATTCTGTCTTGTGGAGCTATCCTAATTTATAATAGACAGTAGGTGTTTCGTCAACCTTTACTGAATAGTAAGTATTTAAAAACCATAAGACAAAGTCTCCCATTTTACTCCCATGGTTACCATAAGGTTCATACATCAGTAGGTGTGGTAGTTGGAAGTAAAGCTTGCTGACAAGGGAAGAGGCATGGGAGCTGACAGACTTTTTAGTGGTCTGTTCCTTGAATGGGAAAGAGTAAATGTACTTGCTACCTTTTAATAATCAGTTTGCCTGTAATAATTGACTTTTACAGCCTTATTTTGCTGCATGTGGTAGCATTCATTTCTAATCTCATGGTTTGGGAGACTGAAGCAGGGAGGATCATAAGTTCAGACCAGCCTGAGCTGCATTGAGAGAGCCCATCTCAAAAACAAACAAACAAGAGAAAACAACAAAAATTTCCAGCTGGTTGACCAATTTACTTTAAATGTATATTTTCTAGCTGGGAAAATTGAAATTAATTATGACTAGGTTTTAGAAAAAATATTTGTTTTCCTGATGAAAAATATTTTAATTTAGAATAATTTTAACTTAATGCTTAAAGCTCTTTATCCCTTATTAGTGACACTCTGGTATCACATTGAGAGATTTCAGCAACACAATTGACTGGCGGGCTGCCTGGCAAAGCTCTGCTGATTGTCAGGTCCCTGCGTTAGTAACTAGAAACTTGGTTATATTGTTGATCACTGATCAAACCAGATTCTTGGAATTGATTCTTGCTAATCAGTTATGTAAGAGATTGTTTTATAAACTAGAAAACTAATTTTTGAGTCAAGGATAATCTTTTTAAGGTGCACCTTTTTGCTGGTGTTAACGTGTTTGGTAAACCAAATAAATTGAGAACGGTTGCTGATGTCTACAAGAGGAGCAAGGGGAATTGATCCGTCCTCTCTTCGCTGTGTACCAGAGTAAACTTCTCCAGTGATTAATTACCTGGTCTCCCATTAAACCATCTCTGTATGACAGTCCTGCGTCAACCCTGCAGTTCCCCTTCTCCTACTCCTTTAATCAGTATTGTATCATTCATGCTAGTTCTGATTACTTTAATTAGACTTGAATGTTAGCCAAGTTTCCTAAACTACTTTTATTCTTAATTTGACTTTATTTTGACCTTCTCCCTGAACCATTTGGGCAGGTGGCTGTTGCTTTCCCCTGCGTGTGTCAAGTGGTAATCATAATGCAAAATTCAGTAAATTTTTTTAAAACTCCATTTCTCTGTGTAGAGCTAATTGTAAAGGAATTTAACTGAAACAATCTTGCAAGAAAGAATACCTATTTAATTTTCACTTCAGATTAAACTCAGGTATTTAAAAGTGGCCATTGAAGGTACTTAAGATGTTTTCTGCGTTCTTTTTGTGTGCAGGTAGTGGAGGTGTATGGCCTTCTAGCCCTGGGAATGTCCCTGTGGAACCAGCTAGTGGTGCCTGTTCTTTTCATGGTCTTCTGGCTCGTCTTGTTCGCTCTCCAGATTTACTCCTATTTCAGCACTCGGGATCAGCCTGCATCACGGGAGAGGCTTCTTTTCCTTTTCCTGACAAGGTAATTGATGAGATCTTGTGGTCATATACACAACCTTAGGAACAGAAAACTAAGATCTAGGATTAGTAAATTTTGCAGATTACTTTTATCAGTCACATAGCACAACGGGATTTTCATTCAGCTGATGCCCAGGTCTGGCAATGCAGGGAATGCTAACAGAAGAAGCCCGGTGGATAGATTTGGCTGATACAGCAGTGATCTGTGGAAAGGTACATTGCAAAGCTTAAAAGCATTGTTTTTTTTTTTCAGTTTTTTGAGTTGAAGTATTGTCAGTAAGAGAAAAATAATTACAAAAATACTAGCTTGTATTAAGTATTTAATATATGTCACACTACTAAATACTTTCCCTCACATTTCATCTTCCTAGCAACCCTGAGAGACAGGTACCTTTAATATCATTACTGTATGGTACCAAGAGTGACTTGCTCCAGGTGACACCATTACCAGAAGCAGAGTTGGCACTCAGACCCCATCTGCGTCCACAGCTTGTGACTTTTTTATGTATACTTGTGCTATGTCCTCATATTGTCATGTTTGGGTCAGTACTGAGATAGTCAAATAATTGATGAAATGTACTACTTTGTCATCCAACCCAAAAGAATTCTGGGACTTGATTTTAAGACGTGTGTGTGTGTGTGTGTGTGTGTGTGTGTGTGTGTGTGTGTGTGTGTGTGTGTGTGTGTGTGTGTGTTTGAGTCTTACGTGTTAATTGAGTCCATGTGAGTTGAGTCCTTTTCTCACTGCATGTCTTTACTGTGAGCTTAGCCTGGATCCACACTTGTCATTTTTCTCACTCAGAGTTAAATCTCAAGCCCTCAAAATCTACACATGTGTACAACTTAGTTCCCTGCTTCGTTGTCATTTTAAAAGGCAAGGATGGAAACCTGTCTTCTTGGAAAGTAAGGCAGATGCAAGTTTTGAGTTCCAGTTAATAGAGCCATTGCTTCTTAGTCATCGAGTCTGTGAAGAACTGTGTACCAAGTGGTACAGGGAATGGGGAGTTTAAGCTTGTTATTTATTAAGTTGAAAGCAATACCAATTAAAATGTGATGGAGCGATACCTATTTTAGCAAATAAGTTGGATAAACTTACTGGTCCTGAGTCACATAAGCAGCTTCTGTAAACATGCAGCATTGCTGTTAACAGAGTCTGCATGTTATAATGACTAACTCAGTGTTAAGTAAGTTTAGTATTTGTTTATATGTAAATAATATGGAGTTTTTTGCAGGAATTTTAAATGATCCAAAAAGCAACTAAATTTAAGAGACAGAGCTGTACTATCCTGTGGTTGAAATATTAACTGTGGCGTGGGGCTGAAATTTCCATGCTTTAACCCAGATAGTTACCATTGCAGTGCAAAGTCAGACTAGGTAGAGCCTGGTGTCTAGTGGGCTTAGTGCGTCACTAAACCATGAATGAATTTGGACTTCTTTACATAGTAGGAAAATAATACTGAGATTTTAGAGACCTTGCCCAGCAAGTTTTTCTTTCTACTTTTCTGCACATAGCCAGGATAAATTATCCTTTCTTAAGATGAGAATGTTTTGATTTGGCTTTTGATTGGAAAGTTTCTATGTTGGTTCTTTTGTTAATTCACATTTAGTTCTTTGGCCTGCTTGATGCTTTTGTGTACCAGGTTACATGTATGTGTTTCCTTGCCAAAATAACTTATTTACAAAAAGAAGATTGGAGGTTTATCAGAATGCCTTTATTAAACAAACAGGCCAACAACTGTAAAACAAAAAGATTTTCTTTATAGCCAAAAAGTAGAAACTAAAATCTTCTATTAAAGAACGAGGGGAAGAAAAATGTTATAAATTTCCCAGATTCTTTTGCTGTCTAAAGCTAGGATGAAATTTTGAATTCTTTAATATGCTTTCCTTTGTTTGGGGGAAGGGGGAACGGGACATCACATCATTTGTTGAAGTAAGAGAAAAAAAGAACGTGCTGCTATTGTGCATGTAATTAAATTATATAGTTCATACCGTTCAGGGTAACGAGTTTTGTAAACATGGTGACACGTTCAGTAGATTTTCAGCCTTTTCCAATGAGAGTGAAGTAAAATTTTAGCATTGTTTTAAAATTGGAGACAACTTGTGTAAGCATTGTATTACATAATGATTTCTGTGAGCAAAGTTCAAACAGTTTATTCTTTCAGCCATCAGCCACCATCACTAGTGGATATTTGGCTTCTAACAGAAAACCAGATTTTTTCTCTACCCTTTTTGTAATGTATATCGGTCAACATAAAAACAGGCAACCATGTAGGAAAGATGTATAGAAGCATGGAGCTCTGTGGTAATGGATAGGCAGTGATTTGCTGAAGGAAGTCCTTATGTGGTGCAGATGGAATCCTCCAATTTAGGGTGTTGTTGCTATGTAAATGCTAAATCCAGTTCATTAGTGCATAATAGTCCATATGCTTACAACGTACACATGTGTCTTCCAGTTAACCTGATTTATAAGCTTTCTATAATTATATATAAAAGCAAGCTTTTATGTTAAAAATTGAATTTTAATTTTAAAAATTAAAATTACTTTTAAGCATTCTTGGACTGTATGGGGCGTGCTTGTGAAGTAACATTCATCTAAATCGAAATGAAATTGGAATTTTAAACACTGGTCATGTGTTTGATACTGTTACAGTGGGAGGGTTTCTTGGTGGGTGGAGGCTCTGTAGCAGTTTGGCGGTCAGACAAGGAGCTATAACAAGGAACCATATTAGCAGTACAGTCTGAACAATTTGAACGGCAAACATTTTCAGAAGAAACAATGGACAATAGAACAAGTTTCTTTTGAATATTTAATAGCATGTTCTTGAGGTTTGAACAAGATTTAAGCTCCAAATTTTACTGCATTTGAAGAAGATGATAGAAAACTAAAATGAAGATTCAATTTCAGGTATGGTGCTGTGTACTAGACATTTGCCAAAGGGCTGGGAAAAAACATGTAGCTTTGAATAAAAATATGATGATCGAAGTTTTGGAGTAATTGGGTGATTTCACCTCAGATTTTTGTTTGAGATGATTTGATGAGGATCTCATCAAACCAAGTGGTTATTTAGAGACTTAAAGTCTTCCTGCTTTTTCCCAGTATTGCAGAATGCTGCAGCACCCCGTACTCCCTGCTGGGCTTGGTCTTCACGGTTTCCTTTGTTGCCTTGGGTGTTCTCACACTCTGCAAGTTCTACCTGCAGGGCTATCGCGCCTTCGTGAATGATCCCGCCATGAACAGGTAACCCTTACTTTATGATTCCAAATAATCCTAAGTCCTATAGATGGCTGAAGAAGATGTCAGGGTGAATTTCTTTGGTTGATGAACTTTAGAGGAAATGGAATTTTGAGGAGTTTTTATTAAAGTACTTTGAAAAAATAACCAAATTCCCATGTAAAAAGATGTATTCTAATTGTATGTGTGTTACTATGGATATTGGACACACTTCCCTTTTCTAGATTTCTTTTTTGAAATCTTGCCTTGTCCCATTTGAAGTTTTAAACGTAACTGTGTTGAAAGTCTGATTTCTTTGTTTAATACTTTGTCTTAAAGTTCTTCTGTATGTTTGAGCATAATTTGAATATGACTTACCAAAGGTTCAGAAGCTGTATCAATGAGAGTATAGAATGGTCATCCTTTTGTTCTGTTGCTAAGATCAGGTATTGAGAAACTTGCTTCTAAGACTTGCTTATGACACATATTATCTGCATTTAGGAATGTAATGGTTTCATTTATATAGTTTATATAACTCCTTTTTTATTTTTATTATATTATTTTACTGGGGTACATTGTGACATTTACAAAAGCACCTACAGTATATCTGAGTCAAATTCCCCTGCTCCATCCATAACCTCTTCTTAAAGTCCTTAAATATTTGGGGTGCATAGTCTTCCTGCTCGTCCCAGCCAGCAACTTGAAAATGGAAAAAGAAAAGGATGTGTGTGGAAGAGAAGGTCGGGGGGAGGGAACAAGAAAGAGGAATAGTTCATGTAAAGTTTTACAAAATTTATGTCATTTGTAAGATACAAAACACAAAGTGACAACCCTCTGCATCCCATTTCCTTTTCCCAAAGGTAACCTCTTGAAGAGAGGTTACTTGAAAAATTTTACAGAAAAAAGTATGGTTTTATTCATTGCCACCTTCTAAAAGCAATGTTCTGAATGTTCTGTGCCTTATTTTTCCATTTGATGTTTTAGAGAAAGTTTTTGTTTCTTACATCAACACATAGAAGATTCACCTCATTCTTTCTGGTGAAGGTGTATAGTATTCCCTAATGTGGATATAGCTTTTTTGTTGTTTTGGTATTAGAAAGTAATGCTTCTGTGAGTATCTTTGTACAGCTCTTTTTTAAACCTTTAATTAGGACAATTTCAAGCTAGTGAAGTTGAGAAAATTGTAAAATTAACCCACATATACCCACTACCTATTTCCAGCCACATGTCACACCTGCCCCTTTGGGTCCACCTGCTGTGGCCCAGCTCTGTGGTTCCCCGGCTATAGGTGTTTGGAGAAAACCCCAGACACAACGTCATTGTACCACTAAGTATTTCAGTCTGTAAATGTTTTGAAAAAACTTAACTGTAATCCAACAAGCATTCCTAAGGAAATAATTCTTTGGTGTTACAGTTGTTCAAATTTCCCTTTTAAAATCATGGCTTTTTTTTCTGTTTTCCTTCTTTTGGTGGTGTTGAGGGCTGAACTCAGGGCCTCACACTTGCTAGACAAGCGCTCTACCACCTGAGTCACACTGTCTGCCCTCAAATTTCCTGTTTTAACGCTTTGTTTACTCAACTTAGATCCAAAGGAGACCATGTTGCAGTTGGTTGATTTCTAGGGGTTTCCTTTAATATTTAGATCCCTGTGCTCCACCTTTTTTCTCTTTGCATTTTATTTGTGAAAACACCGGGTTGTGTCCTGTTGAGTTTTTCAGCATCTGGAGTTTTGCTGAGTGTCTCCCATGGTGTCGCAGAGCACGTTGCACTAGTATCTTCCTTCTTTTGTACATGTATCTTTTTTTTTGGTGTTACTGGGGTTTGAACTCAGGGTCTCACACTTGCTAAGCAGGCCCTCTACCACTTGAGCCACTCCACAGCCCTTTGTGTATCTTATCTTAATTTTTGTAGAACACTCATAGAGTGAATTCTTAGCAGTGTGATTATTGCATTGAAGGGTATACACGTTATATTTATTACCAGTTTTCTCCACAGATATTTTATCTGTGTATATCTCAACATTAGTCTGCTCTTTTTCTCACATTTCTTAACCAGCTCATGGTGTCATCAAACTTTGAAATATTTGCTAATGGGCAGTTTTTAAGATGGTGCCTCTCCTTTGCTCTTTTTTTACTTGTTTGTGAAGGTTCTTTATAAATCAAGCCAATAGAATAAAAAGTTTTTTGACTTTATATATTTTTCCATGAAAATTAAGCATCAAAAACTATTTGTATTTACCTTGTTTTGCATCTGTGGTTCTTAAGATCTTTTAATTTTTTTTTATTCACCTCATCTTTCTCTCTTTTTTTTTTTTATTATTCATATGTGCATACAAGGCTTGGGTCATTTCTCCCCCCTGCCCCCACCCCCTCCCTTACCACCCACTCCGCCCCCTCCCTCTCTCCCCCACCCTCTCAATACCTGGCAGAAACTATTTTGCCCTTATCTCTAATTTTGTTGAAGAGAGAGTATAAGCCATAATAGGAAGGAACAAGGGTTTTTGCTGGTTGAGAAAAATATTTGTATTTACTTGTTTTGCATCTGTGGTTCTTAAGATCTTTTAATATTTTTTTTATCACCTCATCTTTCTCTCTTTTTTTTTTATTATTATGATGTTGCATACAAGGCTTGTCATTTCTCCCCCTGCCCCCACTCCCTCCTACCACCACTCCGCCCCCTCCCTCTCTCCCCACCCTCTCAATACCGCAGAACTATTTTGCCTTATCTCTAATTTTGTTGAAGAGAAGAGTATAAGCCATAATAGGAAGGAACAAGGGTTTTGCTGGTTGAGATAAGGATAGTACATAGGGAGTTGACTCGCATTGATTTCCTGTGCGTGTGGTTACTTCTAGGTTAATTCTTTTTGAGCTAACCTTTTCTCTAGATCTAGTCCTTTTCCTATTGCCTCAGTTGCTTTTAAGGTATCTGCTTTAGTTTCTCTTGTGTTAAGGGCAACAAATGGTAGGTATTTTTAGGTGTCTTACTACCTCACCCTCCTTGTGTTCTCGCTTTTATCATGTGCGCAAGTCCAATCCCATTGTTGTGTTTGCCCTTGATCTAATGTCACATATGAGGGAGCATATGATTTTTGGTCTTTTTGGCAGGCATAACCTCACTCAGAATGATGTCTCCAATTCCATCCATTTACCAGTGAATGATAACATTTCGTTCTTCTTCATGGTGAGTAAAATTCCATTGTGATAGATACCACATTTTTAATCCATTGTCAGTGGTGGGGCATCTTGGCTGTTTCCATAACTTGGCTATTGTGAATAGTGCCGCAATAAACATGGGTGTGCAGGTGCCTCTGGAGTAACCTGTGTCACAGTCTTTTGGGTATATCTCTTAGATCTTTTTAAAGAGATATTTTCTTCACAATTGTGAAAACATTCACCTGTATTTTATACCTGTAGCTGACGGTGGTGTAAGTAGGTAAAATCCAGGGGGTATTTAAGAACAGCAGGAGTATGTGCTCATTATAAATTCTGGTGAGAAAACTTGCATTTCTCTTACAAGTTGCTTTCCTTTCATTTTATGCTGACCTGGTAGCTTGTGTGCTTTTGCATACGCAGGACACACATGGCTGTGCCGTCACACCGTAGTGTTGCAGGATGGGAGGCTACTCCACGTCCTCGCCAGGATTTTAGACTGCATTGTCAGAACTGATTTAAAAATATGAAACAGCTGTTGAAGCTTTGAATTGCCTTCTCTTAGAGTTACTTGATGAGGCTTGGATGATTCACTTGACACTGAAAGCGTCTGATTTTCAGGGGCATGACAGAGGGGGTGACCCTGTTAATCCTGGCGGTGCAGACGGGGCTGATAGAGCTGCAGGTGGTGCACCGGGCGTTCCTGCTCAGCATCATCCTTTTCATCGTCGTGGCTTCTATCCTGCAGTCCATGCTGGAGATCGCAGACCCCATCGTTCTGGCGCTGGGCGCATCTAGAGATAAGTGAGCAATGGGAGTCTTGTGACACTCTTCCACAGATTCACTGTGTGAAGATATGGGGTGTGCTGAAAGACGGAAAATGAGAGGATCGTTGCTGTTAAGATGATTCAACAAATTTATGTTTTTACTTTTCTGATATTTGCTGCTTTTCCTCTCCAAGATTTCTGGAGTTAAAAGTCAGGTCAGAGGCTATGAAATTATAAATGAACCCTTCTTCAGGGGTATTTAATACTTTTTATATTTGTCCAGTTTGAAAAACGTGAAGCATATTTGGTTTAGTAAATATGTCAAATAAAATATAATTTAACTGATGCTAGCTAAAGGAGAGAAAGTGTTAACAAAAATCCAAGTGAAGAAAATTAAAGGCAGTCAGGGAATCATAAAAATGGCATTTATTTCAGACAGTTGCAACTTGCTGAGGCCATGTGGGGATCCTTGATGACTTTGTGGGACCAGATGACATTAATATCTCTTACATTGCAGAATTTCTTAAAAGAAATAAACGCCAAGCTGTTAGTCCTTTGAAGATACTGTTTTGAGGATGTTCATTGCCAGGGCCCATTCAGCTGGTTGGACTAGCTGGGCCAGTGGCCCCTTCCTCCCGCACTGCCTCCCACACTGTGCTCAAGAGAAAGAGCTTCCCCATAGAGAGGGACCTTGCAATGGTCAAGTGTACACGAGTAGCTGTGCTCCCTTGCTAGCCCCTGCATACAGATTCTCAAGATACTATTTTGAGGGCTGGGGTTATAGCTCAGGGGTAGAGCATTTTGCCTAGAACGCATGATGCCTTTAGTTTATCTTCAGCCCCACATAAAAAGAACAAAGGAAAAAAACCTTACTATTTTGGTCTATTACAGTTCATAGAAAGAAATTATGGAAAATTCAGTGTCACTTTTTTTCCCCAGTGCTCTATTTACATTTTGATTATTGATTATAGAAATCTGAATTTATTGCTTGGTGCAGGCGATTCCTTCCTTGGGAGGTAGCATTGTAGATATTAAAAATTAACATTTTAATTATCATTCATTAGGTTTTCTTTGTATTCCCATAGTATACATTTCGTTTCTCTAATGCTAGGGTGGCTGAAAGAATCACTTTAAATAGGCTCTTGGATGTGTTTCAGGTAGTCTTAATCATCTTACTTAATTATAGTTATTTGGAATTTGTTTTGGGAGTTTGAGGTTTTTGCATAGAAGCATTTAAGATGTTGAACTCAAGGCCATTTAGTAGATCTGAAAGTGGTTGCTTTTGACCTAACTGTAGCTAGTATTTTTTCTTCTCTGATAATATCCTTACTAATGACACTAATTTAGTGTGCATTAATGAAACTGATAGGATCTATAGAAAGGTTGGAAAAGAGAAAGAAATCAGCAATTGCACTGTCCTGAGAACCAATGTGTCCAGTTCTGTGGCTCTCTAGGGGCTGAGTAGCCTTGGTAGCAGCTTCGTTCCCCCAGATCACATGTGCTGGAAATGTAGAGACAAGGGGGCAAACTGAGATCTGGGTAGTTGCTTTGATGTGGGACTTTGTTGTTGCTCATGGCTGCAGCAGCATCAGCCTGTGGGCGGAAAACCAGGAATGAACCTCCAGGTTCTCTTCTCCCCCCCACTGCCTGTGGTGAGAAGAGTGGGCTCTCAGGAGCTATGTGCCCAGACTTTCTCTAAAGCAAAAGAAAGGGACCAGCACGAGTGGCTCCAAAAGTGAACAGCACGGCTAGTTCTGTAACTGCTAAGGTGATTGAAGCAGCCGGGGCTTCCTGACTCTAAAAGAATGCTTCTTCTTTCTTCAGGAGTTTGTGGAAGCATTTCCGTGCTGTGAGCCTTTGCTTATTTTTGCTAGTGTTCCCTGCTTACATGGCCTACATGATTTGCCAGTTTTTCCACATGGACTTTTGGCTTCTTATCATTATTTCCAGTAGCATTCTCACCTCTCTTCAGGTAAGCCTGGGGTCAGCTAGTTTTTATAATAACCGATTTTATTTTCTATCCCAACAAGAATTAAGCTTTTTTAAGATTAGTGACTTTTAAAGGCCTGTTCAGGCGGCCATTTCCCTCTCTTTACCTGAACTGCACATGTTGCATGTACTTGAACATAGTAGTCAGAAGGCATGTTATTAAATGCTAGGTCAACCTGTCTGTGTTGCTGTGAGTGTTTTGTAAATCAAGGTAATTCTTTCAGTTTCTCTTTTTCAGAATGGTATAATACAGAAATGTCATATAAATATTTAATTGATGAGCAACCACAAAATACTAAAATATTTTGTAGCTTACTTGCAGTGGGTTTTTTTTTAAGTAGATACCTACTCAAAAGTACACATTGTTTCATAATATAAGTGTGTATTACATGTGTGTGTCACACAGAGAGACACAATTTGTATTTTGTACACATATATAACCAACATCGCCCTAGAAGTGGATCGATCTTTGCTGCCTGGTCAGTAAGAAATAAAAGAAAATGTAGCCCTGGCAGTTAAGATTTATTTGTTTTTCCCTGGAGAAGTGAAGGCTCTTTGAGAATTGAGGAACAGGGATGATTAGAGAAACAGACAGTTAAAGGTAGCATTGTTAAGGTTTGGATGAGTCAGAGAAAACTGGTTACTCAGTGAGTCATTTCAGAAAGGTTATGTCTGGGGTGTGGCCTTTTGGAATCTAATACCTGGATTACTAAAGTCACCCACATGGTAACTACGTTGGTTTCTTCTCTGGATTGTATTTATTTATTTTCCTTTTCCTGGGTCCTCTTGAGATTTTAGACATGGCATCTTACAGGAAGCAGGAATGTGTTACTTAATGGTTATGACGAATGTTGCATACGCCTTTTTTTCAGGTTCTGGGAACGCTGTTTATCTATGTCTTATTTATGGTTGAGGAATTCAGAAAAGAGCCTGTGGAGAACATGGATGATGTCATCTACTATGTGAACGGCACCTACCGCCTGCTGGAGTTTCTTGTGGCCCTGTGTGTGGTGGCCTACGGCGTCTCGGAGACCATCTTTGGAGAGTGGACTGTGATGGGTTCCATGATCATCTTTGTCCATTCCTACTATAACGTGTGGCTTCGGGCGCAGCTGGGCTGGAAGAGCTTCCTTCTCCGTAGGGATGCCGTGAACAAGATTAAATCCCTGCCCATCGCTACAGAAGAGCAGCTTGAGAGACACAACGATATCTGTGCCATCTGCTACCAGGTAACCCATTCAGGCAGAATCCACCTGGGAGGGACGCAACCATACGACCGGATGCAACTTGAATTTCCAGACAAAATTAACTTGTTGAGGTGTTTTTTTTTTTTTTAAACCGACCTTAGAAATTATTGAAGCCCTAATAAAATACTTATTTTTAAATTAACTTTCTAATTTAGTGCGAGTTCTAATTTTTGTTGTTTTCAACATTATTGCTCACCCATAAATAAAGGAAAAACAGGTCAGGTGTATTTTATATTTACTCCTGAATACACACACACTACACATACTCTCAAATGTATCCTGCTAATCAGCAGTCAGCAGCTCTGAACAGTGGTGTGCCAAGGTCTGACTCTTCCTTCCTGGCCGTAGTATTCCAAGGGTGGGGAACAAGTTCTCATGCTCTTAACATGCTCACCTGTGCATAGCTAAGTTTTGGAGCCTTTTTGGGCATTGTGGGATGGGGTGGTGGAGGCTGCCATCAGTGTACCCTGGAAACTAGCCTGCCTGCCATCTGTGGCACGTGTTCCCTAGAGAGCTGATGAGTGCCTTATAATACAAATTAAGACAATATGTAAAAACCACCTTGGCAAAAAGAGGCCTAGAGTTTGATTACCACTTATTCAAGAGGATGACTGCACTGTTGCAGTGTGGACAAAACTACCAGCAGTGGTAGAAACCATCTTCCATTCTGAGTCACTCTTAAAGAGTGCAGGCCAGTGGATAGTGTCATTGAATACACAAGAATTATCTTCTGGGCTGCTCTTATCATTCAGGTAGAGTTGATAGTATTTGTGTGTGAAGTACCTAGAGTAAGAATTTTGTTTCATAGCAAAATACAAGTACATTTTTTTTTTAAAGACTAGAACAGACTTTTGAATTCTAGCAAAGCAATGTCTGCCAAGTTGTTTTTGCGTTTGAGGGGACTGAGAAGTGGTGTCCCCCAAGATGAGTTGCCAGGCTTAACTCTGCTTATGTTAATAAGTGTGTTCCAGCTCGTCATTGCTAGGTCACTTCTGTGTCCTCAGCAGAGCACATCAAGGACAGATTTGAGCACATCAGCTTCAGCAGGCAGCGTGTAATAAATACTCCATCTTGGGATTCAGAGTCCTCTTTGTATATTTCCTCTTGTCACATCACTTTTTTTGAGGTGCTGGAACTACCTGCTGATGTCATGTGGAAAATGGGAGTAGAATTGCTTAGCTTTCCAGCTGGCTGCTTTGCTTTGGATGGCTTTCTGCTTAAAAGTTTACTCCTAGGGGTTACCAGTTCTTGGCAAGGAATTTCTGGGATATTCACACCTCCTTGTTTTGGGACTTGAAACAGAATTAATGGCTGACTCACCAAATGTTTTTGTATCCTTACCATTTTAACTTGATGCCCTCAGCCTTCCCTCTTTAAATGTATCTTACACAAGGACTGTTAATGCAGAGGACGCCACTCCTTAATCTGGTGGTTATCAAACTTGAGTGCATGAAAGTAGTGTGGGTGGCTTGTTATAACTGTAGATTTATGAATCCCATTTCATATGTCCTGATTCACTAGGTCTGGGGTGGCCCAAGAATGCGTTCATAATGAGTGGTTCTGATGCAAGCTGAGAAACACTGGCTTATGTAGACCAGTTAAGAACTGGGTGTATACATTTTCTGTAATATCATTGCCACTTCCTTGCCAATACCCTGGTGTTAGGTGGCTGATTTTTGTCTCCTTGCAAACACCCTCGTCATGGTATAATCTGGTCATGTGTGGAGGCATAACTCTGGGGAACAGCCATGCATTCATCAGCCTTCCTGAGGTTATGATGACACCTGAGTCATCCAGGGCCTCAAGCACTCGTGCAGCTACAGTCGTGGGACCTTTGCATTTCATACTTAGGCATACCCAGTCAAGAAGATAGTTCCTTCCTCGTTTTTTGTTTTTCTCTGTTTTTTTCCCCAATTAGCTAGTGGTTCTTATATTATTTTTATAAGAGAGTCTCTGACAGTGACAGCATTATTAATGAAATAAAATGAGTTTTGTTCTAAGATCTGTGTTACCGATTTTCTATTTCTGTTTAGAAAGATGGTTAGAGGCCAGAATTTGGGGTAGCAAAAGTGATGGTGGAACATTTATAAGGGTTCTCTTATTTGCCTTTCAGGAACATGAAAGCCTGCTGTGACTCATGCTGAGTCAGTTTCAACGAGGCTGTCTTAAAATGACCTCTGGTCTGTCCCTCAACTCTCCCAGATTCCGAGGACTAGGAACAGAGGTGGCACCACAGCCTCCAGCTGCAGCTGAGCAAAACCTCGTACGCCAGGAAGGTCCCGAGCCCCCAGATCGTGAGCGTCCTCCAGGGACCGGGGTACCAGAAGGTTCTGGGGACAGGAGTGAGTGCATTGCCAGAAGACCAGAAAGCCAGGAAGGCGCCCTTGACCCCAAAGAGGATCCTTGCGGTGTGGAAGATGAAGTGGGTCCCGTTGAGTCAGCCGAGAGGAGAGGAGCCTCTGGTCTGGAGAATGTGGTTCCAGATGGGACTCAGCTCAGCTCTGAGGAGTGAATGAATGTGTGAGAGAATTAGGCAGAAACTGACATTCCAAGATCTACCCCAGGAAGCACGCTCAAGGGAGACTTCCTGCTTTCATGCCCCTGGTGTTGGAGGAGTAATTTTGCAATGTATGCTAATCACAATGTATTTATATGTTCTATGCTGGTGTTTTGTAGAGGTTTGCCAAGAAAATTCAACCTCAGCAACTTCGGGACAGCCCCTGGTTTGAGAGGGATATATGAAATCAGATTTGAGTGTTTGCAAGGGGCCAAGAAAATGAGGATAAAGTGCAGGAGGACAGCCTGGGAGGAAGCAGGTGGAAGCAGAACTGGCATTTCCCTGTCTGTGGGACAGGATCGCTCTTGTTATAAAGTATGAGCAGTGACCAGCCCTTTTCTCCACCCCCTTTCCCTCAGTGGGTTGGAACTCAGCCAGGCAATCACTGAGTTCTTGTACAGCACTGCAGTGAAATCACAGATGTAGAAGCATTGATTTATGCAAAGATTGGAGCACACAGAGTCAGAGCGCTTCAGGGAACGGGGTGGGGGTGCTGGGCCTTGCGGGTTCATTCACGTACCTGAGACTCTTGAACTGTATGACAGTCTCCATCATTTTCATGTACATGGAACTTTTGTTAATATATTGTACTTCGTTGGCTGTGTGAAGTGAACTAAAACTCTAATGAGCACTTTGGAGTCCGCTTTAGGAAGGAGGCCAAAGTGGGAGGGGCTTTAGGGCACTGATAAAGGCCTAGGTGTACTTTTCAATCCTGTGTAATGTTTCATTCTTGCAACGGAATCAAAACAGTGTTAAATTATGGCAATATTTGCACTTTGGAAATGAGTACATAACTGTATGATCACACTGCAAATGCCACTTTTAAAGCTGTTAATAGACTTTGCACCTTTTCTTTGACAAGGATGTGTCATATTTAAATTTTTACATTCATCATGGCTATAGGTAGAACTGGGGAGGGGGGAATGTAATTTTTTATGGGAATTTTGATATGAAAAGAAACTAGTCATTTATTTATACAATAGGCTTAGCTCAAAAAGTGTTTTTTCAGACTTGGTATTCCTAATGTAGGATGTGACTTTATTTTATTTTTAGTAGCAAATTTGGATGTAGACTGGCAGACATAGCTGAATGTCTTAATAAATTTAAATTTGAAGATAACCTTTTTTTTTCTGTGACTTATTATTGTAAAGTTCTTACCTAGCTGGTCTTAAACATATGTTGATCCCTGTCACAAATGCCCTGAAGATAGTGATACCTTGGGAAGGGCCAGTTGATCACACACTAGTGGCAGCAAACTTAGCAGTGTGTCAGAAGAATCTGGGGATCTTTAAAAAAAAAAATGTATTTCTGGTCACCACATGAGACCTATGGAATCGGTCTTTGGGGTGCCTGGGAACATGCTCTCAGACTTTCCCAGGTGATTCCCCCCAGCTAGCCTGGCACCAGTGCAGTATGACATTAAGAAAAGCAGCGCTTAGACTGGGCCTGGAGTTTCTCACCTTTGGAAATGGGCCATATCAGGCAGAAACCAAAGTAGGTGGCTCCCTCTAGTGACAATGACGTTGCTGTCAAAGATCTATCCTTGCTGATCTGGGTTAAATTTAAAACGGCAGTTTTCAATCTTGTGTGAAAGAATGTGTTCAAGTACGCATTTTGGTGCCCGCTTGAAGGAATAAAATAGGTGGTAAGGTTGAAATCATTTCTGGCACACTGAGCTTGGTTGACCTTTAGGACTGAGAGGGTCTCATGGACTTGTGTTTGGATGTTTTAATAGACATGGAGACTTCTATTTTAACACACTTTTTTCTTTCATAGCTCTGCACCTTGTAACACTTTTTTCTTCCCCATAGCTAGCAGACCCCTGCTGTGCACACCAAGTCAGATAAGCCTCAGAGCAGCCTGCTGGGCCCGTAACCATTACTGGGCATCCTTTTGCTTCAGTAAGGAGAGCTACATTTTGTAGCAACACAAACTCTCAAAACTGTAGAGCATGCAGGGATGTAGGCTGGTGGAATGGGCACTCTTGAACTTTCCTGATCATCCTGTTACAGGGAAAAGGACTCCGAAAGCCTTTATAATTACATGTTCCTCTTTATAATTACATGGATGTGGACACCTTCACTCCCACATACATCCCTTGGCCAGAACTACTGCAGTGACCATACAAGGTACAGAAATCGTCTCCTGGGGCCTCGAGATAGTATCTCACTGGCCAGCGCTCTGGTGGAACAACACCTAATTTCACACACTATGCAAAATTTGGGAGCACACCTGTGATGGCTCAAACTATAGCAGTTTCAGGGACTTCTGACCTAATTAGATCCTTGTTCTAAAACCATGGCAGTTTCAGTCATTTTTGTAAGTTTCCAACTTGCTAGACACTTCTTTTGACTTAGGAAGAGGACAATGCAGTTTAAGCATCTAGTTTGTACGCAGGAGAGAAAGTGAGAAAATGAGACTGGATTCCCTCAATTGTGAATGATTAAATTGAAGTAAGTCCTGCCTTGACTGACCCTGGAGTACTCATTTTCCCATTTTTCAGATGATGCTTATTTTCACCTGTGAGTAGTCTCCTGAGTGATAATGCCCTCTGGTTTCTTTGTTTGTTTTCTTTTTTCTTTTTGGTGGTACTTGAGCTTGAACTCAGGGCCTAATACTTGCTAGGCAGGTGCTCTGCCTGCCACTTGGCCACTCGGCCAGCCCCTCAGTTTTCTTTTTTTTTTTTTTCTTGTAAGAATTTTTTTATTGTTGTGCTGGGTGGGGATACATTGTGGCATTTACAAAAGTTCTTACAATATATCAAATGTATCATACTTGAATTCCCCCCTTCCATGGCTCTCCTTTATCCTCCCTTCCCCCCCATTCCTGGAACAGTTTCAACAGGTAAGATTTTTATATTCACATACATGTGTACACATTTTTTTGTACCGTATTCACCCTCCTACCTCCTTTCCCTGCCACCTTCCCCGTCTTACTGGCACCTACCCCCACACACAGGACTTGTTCACCCTCCTGTTCTTCCATGTTAGCTTTGCCATCCAAGGTAGTACTGAACAATAAACCCTCACACTAGTTAATATATATTTCTGTCTTCTGTTGTTTCCTACTTTATAAAACTTGCTCTAGTAGTCTAAATCATGCTATCTGCACAGTGTATCCCTCAAGGTCTGATTTTCAAACACTGGGGTGAGTCTGAGAATCCCTGAAGCCCTTCGTTAGGTTTTGGATATTTCGTGTTAAGAATATGTACCATTCATAAGCACTTTCCATCTGAAGCCGCCTGCTTCCAAGTCTTGTGTGTCAAGTCATGAGTTTAATTGGTTCATCGAGAAGGAAAAATTTTGCAGTTTCCGAGTTTAGAAGGGAGGGCTCTTGGCTATGGTTGTGATAGTGGTATAAAAACCTTTAAAAATTTAAGTGTTCATATGTTATGTGCTGATTTGGGGGGAAAATGAAAATTAAGGTTTACACTTGAGTTGCTTCTTACTGGATTTTGTGAAAGAGTTTCTTTTAGAACCCTGGCAAGATGAAGGTAGAAGTTAAAAGGTTTTGGCTATTTTTAAAAAAAGTTACATGCTTAAGTATTTTTTAAGCACTACTTATTTGGAAAGTAAAGTATTTATAAAGAATAAGAAGTCACCCATAATCTCATTTTACTTCATATTTGATGATAGGATACCCCCCACACCTCCTCCCAGAGGATATATCATAATCTTTTTTGGCAGTACTGAACTCAGGGCTTCATGATTGCTAGGCAGGTGTGCTGTTGCTAGAGCCACACCTCCAGCCTTTCGCTCTGGTTATTTTAGAGATGTGGTCTCATTTTTGCCCAGGTCAGGCTGGACCACGATCCTCCTACTTTAAGCTTCTTAACCTAGCTGTGCTGGCAGACACCACACGCCCAGCCTTTTTACATTGAGATGGGCTCTCACAAACTGTTTTTCCCAAGCTGGCCTAGAACTATGATACTCCCAAGTAGCTAGGATTATAGGTGTGCCTGACTGTTTACATGTCTTTTTTAAGAGTCTACTGCCCATCATTGGCCTCTGGAGTACAAATACTTACCAAACAACTTTTTAATTCATCAGTTAAGGGTTACCTGTTTCTCTTGCCTTTGGGGATAGAGTGGGATGGCTTTCAAAAACAGACGTTTTCTAGGTTAGAAAGCAAACTTGGTTAGAAAGCACTGAGACACCGGCAGCAACTTAGAGAACTCATAACCCTTTTGGCCACTCAGAAAGTGGCTTTATTTCTCTCCTGCAAAAATCCTGCATGTGTTGTACTGTGTGGACATGTTTTGGAGTAAAAGCAGGCTCTTTGTAGGGAAGACAGGAAACCCTGCACACCTAGAATGCTGTTCCTTTTCCTTGTTCTTCCCAACACTGATGTTCCTGATTTATTTCTTGTGAATGTTGACTGGCCCATTTTCTTTCTGTTGTTAATCAATACCAATAATTCATAACTTTTCTGTTTTTTTATGTTCTAAGGTAAGAAAGAATGGTTTCTGACTAGTGAATGTAGAAGAAATTTGGAGCCAATTCTAAATGAAATGTTCTGTTATTTTCAAATGAGAATTTGCCAAGTTGAAATCATCTCTGAGTGGCATCAAGCCTGCTAACTTCCTTTGACAATCCTTTTTCTGTCCTCTTGGATTTAGGAAAACAACACTGAAGATGGGAGCTGAGTAGATGCAGGAGCCCTGGGTTTTGGGATCCGCCCCATCTCTGGCTCTGTGGTCCTTGGCCAGCCTTCATTTTTCTGGGCTTCAGCTTCATAAGAAAAAAAGTCTGAGGTATCATTCTGTTTAAGATTTTATCAACTCTACTTTTAATCTGTACCACTGACTAAGTAATGAGCGTCATATATTTTTTTATGTGCTGGGCCAAATACAAGCTCAGGTTCACCACTAGTTCCACTGCCTGGCACAGGGCAGGATCCATGTAAAACAAACCAAGTGAACAAATGAACTTAATATGTCTTCTCCGGCAAACCCCATAGTTTAAAAATGGCAGAGGACCAGCCTAATGTTATATGCCTTTAATCCCAGCTACTTAGGCAGAGGTAGGAGGATTGTGGTCTGAGGCTGGCCCAGACCAAAAGTTAAGCCCCTTTCTAAAAAACAACCAGACGGACTTGGGGGGAAGTGGCTCAAATGGTGGAATCCTTGTCTAGCAAGCAAGGGGCCCTGAGAGCTCAATCCCTAGTACCACCAAAAAAAAAACAGGCGGAGAATTATATTCTTATATCTTTCTAGAGGCAGAGAGTATAATACACATTCCAACTAGGTGAAGTCACTTCCAGGAGTGGTTTTTGATGCCTGACTCAATTCAGATACTAACCCAGCATTTTAGATCAGATGGCAGACTTAGGGCCTTCAAGTGAAAGCTGCGTTGAGGAATTTTGCTTCTTTTTTGTTTGTTTGTTTGGTCTCTGTACATTTTTTAAATGGTATTTTAGAAAATATTTGAGCACTAGAGATGTGGCTCAGTGGCAGAGGGCTTTCCTGGCATGCACAAGGCCCTGGGTTCAATCCCTGGCACATACACACACACAAAAATCTGAATTAGTTGTCTACCATTTAGAAATTTTAAGATTGTGTATTGTATAAATTCAATTTTTATCTTCTGAAGAATGGAAAGAGCTGGCTGTGAAGGTTACCATTCCTGCTGGTAGCAGTTGGTAGAAGCTGAGAAGGCCTGAGTTTCTGACTCACCCCACTTCCCTGCCCCACCACTGCCTGCTCTAGAAAGCTGGGTTGTTACCATCAGACTCTTGCATTCACATACAAAACATGATGAATGAATGCTAGGCAAGTTTGCCATCTCTTAGTCACAGTCAAATCCTGTGTGAATAGGCGTACTGCAGATAATTCATATTGACCAAAGGGAAAAAGATACATTTTAAAAACCAGAAGCAATAGGGAGAAATTTGTTGTTTATTTATGAAAGTGTAGAATCTGTATATTTTCATTTAATTACTGTAGTTCAGGAAAAAAAAATGACACAACAAACCAGTGACCAAATGTTTCATTTGAATATATAATTATTCCTGGGTATCAATGAAGGGTTGGTTCCAGGATCCCCCTTATATATCAAAATTTGCAGAAGCTGAA